TAAAGAAAACAGCTACACAATTGAATTCATATAGAAAAACTGAGATCACAACTACATTTCTGAAGAATAATCAATTCGTTGTTTCTACTCTATCTTAGATAATGTAAAAATTATCCTGTAATCGAGGACGGTTCACTCCATTTGTTGAATGAATGTTGCTGTTCCTGTTGAGGATCGAGCAATTTGAGCTTCTGGAAGATGAGAAGCACCATTCTCTCGGTCTCGAGCTTGGCTCTCTCCATTTCCCTTTCCTTCTTGTTGCTGAACTTCACCCACTTCAGCCGCTGCCTTTTCGAGCTCGAACGCTTGCAGCTGGTAGCTCACTTGCTGCTCCTCCGGCTACAACACCTTCGCCTTCATCTACGGCTTCTTCTCCCAGACTCCTGTTGCCGTCTTGCATCATGCTTGTCACCTCGCCGCTCAGTTGCCGCAGGAGTGCCATAGAGAGCGAGAGTAGGCATTTCCTCGGCCTTTTGCGCGAAGATGTCCTCTCGTTGTGAGCGTTTTCTTCTTCGTGTCCTTGCCCACTGTGACCCCTCGAACCACCTATTGGTGCAAGGAGTGAGGGTTTTGGGCATTTGGGGGCTTCTGTTGCTGATGCAGAGGCATTTCTAGACCTAGCATTCCTGGACCAATGCCTCCAAAGATCCCGCCACCTAAACCATTGGGTTCCATCAACATAATATAAAACGAAAGACATATTCTATCTTCAGTTCACTACTACGAATCTTCATTCCCTCTCATAAACGAATCTCCTTCTTGATTTTGCCAATAAAGACACAATTTTTGAGCCCCCAAGAAGGCCAAATGCCCACATACAGAAGCAGACTTTTTATACCCTTGTAAAAAAGAAAAAAAAAATAGAGATATTCCCTCACAAGTCTGCGAAACCTCAAGAAACCCCGAAATGCAACACCGAGAGCCTGAAGGCCTCATCCATGGAGTGCAAGATTCCATGGTTTTGAAGGAGAAGTCACACCTAGTTTTGGAAGCCAAAACCCACGAGAAAAAGAGTCACAACGTGCCGGATGCGGATTTGAGCCGAAGTGCCAGAGGCGGATACGAGCTTCAAACCCAGCAGCAATGGGGCTCGTGGCGGCGACGGCGGAGGCGACGTGCCGGAGCCGAAGGCGAGAGAGTGTGTCTTCGGACGCAGAGAGAGGGAGTGAAATTTGAAATTTGAGAAAGAGAAGGAGGACCTCCTCATCTGGAACATAGTTCTTTTACAAAAGGGAAGAGAAAGAAGGCAATTAATGTTGCGTGTGTTAGTCTTCTTAAAAGGAGAGAGAGAAAAGAAAGAGAGGTTCCGAATCCAATTTTTTAATTCCATGTCATCGCACACGTGTCGAATTTTAAATGGTTCACGCATGCCACGTAGGACGATGACATGATGATATGAAATCACTAAATATTTTCTCAACCTCCAAAGGGATTTGTATCGTCTGGAATTCTGGATGAGCATTTTGTCCTTTTGGCAATAATTATGGGAAGCAGAAAGCTGATACAGTTGGGCTGATGGGGACAAGCAACCTGGAAGCATGGACATTAGACCCAGGGGAGCGGAAGACCACAAACAGGAAGCAGCCAAAAACTAGTTTGACTGGAATAGCTTTGAGCATTTATAGGTCACCTCAGGCCTCGCTGTTCTTCAATTATTTTACTGACCTCAAATGAAAATATCTGGAGGACATTGCAGTAGTTACTCCTACAAAAGATTCCATCAGGGAGGGCAGCTCCTATAAAACAAGGCCACCAGGTCGAAGCCCATGTCGTAAAAGTTAAAAGGGGAAAGAACTGGAAGCATGGAATCATCCGACGCCACGCCGCACAAGCAGGGCAAAGTTCCGGGGTCGACCGGCGGGGCTTTGAAGGAGAAGAGAGCGAAGCTCTATATCATTCGGAGATGTGTATATATGCTGCTCTGTTGGAAGGAAAATGGAGATTGAGCAGAGTCGAGGCAATGCTTTTTCACCAGTCCTATTTTGTAAAAGTAAGGTAGAGATACTGATGGAAAAACCTCTTAGTTTTCCTAAAGTGACAAATGTTGAGAAAAAACTGGATCGAATATACATCCAGTCGGTCTTTTCAGTTCAATGCTCGAAGCCTTCATCTCATTAGTAGGAGAGTCCATGACTATTTCTCACTAATTTCTCTCTATTCTTTCTATTTTTTTTCCTTTTCCTTTTGCAGCATTTCTATCCAAGGAAAATTCCATTTCTCATATCTCTTAAACAAGAATACTGTAGAAATACAAATGCAAATGCATGCGGCACATACAACAGCGAATCGTATCCAAGAAGTTATAATACATACTGAAAGAGCCAGAATTTGCTTATGCGTATGAAACAGCAACTCCATGCAGCATGGAGTCATGGACCCTTGGTAAACGAAAATGCCTAAAGAGAACAGACAGCAAAGTCTCACGCCTGCGAAGATTGGTTTCATGACAATCGTTCCTTTTCTTCCAGAATCACAAGATTGGCACCATAGTTACAGGTTATGCAACTGCTCAAGTCCTTATGAGTACCATTCTACTTTCTGTAGGAAAATTGATTATAGGGCATGAATTACTACTTATTTGTTCAAAAGAGAACTTCAACCTCCATATCAGATTGCTGATATGCTACTGCGTCATGACATTTCACTGCCAAGTAAGTAGTCAAAATAACTTCAACCCCAATATCAGATTGCCGATATAGTACTGCATCATGACATTTCACAGCCCAGTGGTCAACTTCAGGATCCCTCAATTTAGCATCAAATTACTAATTACTATGCGCATAAATTTTAGATACTTATGTAGCAACATGTCCATAAACAAACGAGGTGATTGCCTTTCATCTTAGATTAGATTTTAGATAAGCTCTAACTCTCATAGCCCATGCAGATAAATCCTCTCTATCCAAGTAAGCCTCTCTCTTACAAAATTTATGAACAAAAGGGTCAGCAGATCACACGCCATTAGGGACAAAGTGTTCAAACCAGCAAGAGAAAGAAGGTTCAATATCGTTACAAGAGGCAGTCGCGTTGTACCGCCCAACAGAACCCGCTTTTTTGAAAAGAGATAGATCAAACTCCTGGGCAATGCAGACAAGTTAATGGGGTCTATTCCGTTTTGTCAATGTTCCTGTAAAGCAAGGACATTCCGAGCATTTTCTTTCTTAATGAAGTATGAACAAACACACAGAAATTGCGAGTGTATGGAGGTTCAACCCCGTTGACGATTGCAAGAACACAGCAATGATGCAACATCGCGAGAGAGAGAGAGAGAGAGAGAGAGAGAGAGAGAGAAAGAGAGAATTAGGAGCTCAAATTATGAATATAAAGGCAATTACATACTATATCGTGAAAAATCCAATCACATTAACATGGGCGACCGAAAAAAAGCAAACGTGGGCGATCTACGAAACGCCCATTCGAACAGCAGAAAACCTATAAACAAGGGGCGATCGGTTCGACGCAACGTCGAGCGATCGAAGGAACCCCACCCACGAATTTACCCAGACCGATCAGACGGAGGCCTTGGCGACGTCGCTGCCGAACCGGGGGGAGGACGAGCCTCGGCCGGGGCGGCGGATCCGTCCTCGTCGTCGCTGTCGTCGTCGGGGTTGGCGGTGGAGACGTCGACGCAGGAGAAGCGCTCGAGGGAGGAGAAGAAGGCGGAGACGACGGCGGCACTGACCCAGCCGGCGACTTGGTCGATAGCGTCGCGGGGGACGATGGCGCCGCCGTTGTTGGGGCCGTTGTTGTCGTCGCTGCTATTGCGGTTGTCGTCGCCGCCGCCGCCGCAGCTGTGGGTGCTCTCTGCCATTTTCCGTCGCTGTTGGCTCGCCGGGAAGGAGCGGCCTGAATTTGCGTTGGGGAACGTTTCTGTCTGACGAAATAGGAGGAGGGTGCGAAGAACAGAAAACGAAAATCGGTTTAGAACGGAGGACGTATTCTGCGCCATGATGGGATATAGACCGTCGGATCCCGTGGGCTCCACGGCAACATAAAGCAAACGATCATCCTTCCAAATTCGACACGTGGTGCTTGGTCGAACAATCGTGCGAAACGCCTTCGTTTCGCAGAAAATTAATAATTTGATTTTTTTAAAAAATTAATATCGCGAAAAATTTCAAACTGATACGCTTGTGATATGAATAACATCTAAAATATGCAAACATCAATCGATTAAGGACGGGGAAGAGGAATTGACCAATCTTATCTCAAGAGGAAATTGAAAATAACTCTTAGTCGGTATATACTTTTAATGGGGGCTTTTGCCTCGTGAAAAATATTGCAACTATGATTAAGTGCAATGGGAGATAAAGCTACTACAATGAAGACTAAGTAAAGAGATTTTCAAATTCTTACAAATATTATTTATAAGTAGGATAGTCAGCGACCAGCGCATCTAGTGTAGTGGTATCATAGTACCCTCCCACGGTACTGACCGGGGTTCGATTCCCCGGATGCGCAGATCTCTCATTTTCCCTTTTTCGTTTTTTTTTTTTTTTTTTTTAATCCAATTTTGTAAATTTTTTCTTTCCTTTTCAGTCAGATTTTCCCATGAATAATTTGGAATGGTTTTTGTCCTTTTATCTAAAGCATATAATTTTCCTTTATAAATTGGATGGCAACTGCCCAAAAAAAAAAAATCCACATTCTCCTTCTCCTTTTTCGCATGAATGGGCAAAGGATATTATCTAACAAATTCAGGTATTTATACGAAAATGTCATTATATATATTTCTTTGCTAGTCAAGGCCTACACAATATTTTCATGGTCGTAGAAAATATTTTCATAATTAATTCTCCTAAACAATGCCTAATGGCAAAAATGGGGAAAATATTTTCGCGCGGCTAATTTCTCGTAAAATAGACCCTTAGTTGCATCCGAAGCTAATCGCCAGGTTAATAGGGGATATAGAATCTCTTCTCTTTTCTTTTGTTTTTTTGTCTGGGGGCGTCAATACGAAATATAGAAGCATTTAGACGTTCGCAACTTACAAAATAGTATAGTGTGCCAAAAAGGGTTCTTTCGCAAATGATCAAATCATTTTGCTGTGTACAGGGAAGCCGACTTCAGCAGCGATGGAGTATCTCAAACTTCCGGGGCGCGAGAAATGAACCTATTGCTAGGACAAAATGCGCAAAGGGTCATAAATTTTACCCGGACTAGCAATCCAGACTCGGTTCTTAAGCCATTGGCAAAATGACCATATACTCAATGTCAAAAACTTTAAGACTCGGTCCTTCCCCGAGCCCTAATCAAGTATAAATGACAGACGCGTGCCGATGTAACTGCGAGCACGTCCTTCATATCAGCAGCAATCCTCTCTTCGTCCTTTCTCGCTTTCTCTCTGCAGCCAAGCCTCCTTTTCTGTTTCGTAAGGTAATGTGACCCCGATGAACCTATCTCTTTGCTTCTCACTAAGAGGACTGAAGAATCTTCTTATAATCCTGGAAAGTCCCATTGAAAGGCGCCACCCTGCCTTCGGAAACCACCCAGAGCTCATCCACGCTTCCAGATATTAGATGCTCATCATGACTAACCTGCAAATCAAGGCAAAAGGAGGTTGTTACTGTGAAAACGATCCACCGTTGGTCAAATTGAATGTTTTGGCAAGAAAGTCAATCTCACCATCAGAATTCCTCCTTGGAACAAGACCAGACCTTGAATGAGCGCCTCGACCGCATCCAAATCCTACAGTTGTGGATAGTAAAAAAGTAGAATCATACTCATCCATCCTTAGAAAAGAAACTAACAATTTAGAAAGAGAATTCTTTGGTAGTCACTGGTCATTAAAGCGGAACTTAAAAGTCAACATGTATAAACAGAAAAAGGTCCACATCTATTATATGCAGATCTCAATACCACCTATTGGCACAGATGTTGGAACTATTTGGTATTATAGATGACTGTAATACACACAGATCAGCCTAGTATAACTGTTCTATTCCAAGAACTTTACTATTAGGAACAGTTAGATTGGTTTCTGTTCCATTTTTAGTTAGATGTATGATGACAATTGCTCACTGATTGGTTCTACTGTATTTTCCATGTAGAGTCTGATTCCAAAAAGTTCAATTAGTGCAAGGACAATAACAAGCTAACTGAAAAGGTAATCAACGTCACAATCATGAGAGGGAAAAGGGTGGAGAAAGATGAATAAACTCACCAGATGATTGGACGGCTCATCAAGCAAAAGTATGTGAGGTTTCTTGAAAGTAATCTTGGCAAATGCGACTCTGCTTTTCTGACCACCTATTTACATGGTCAAAGCACAATGTTACAAAGTACACAGTACAATTCACATTACAAATTAATTTAACCCCTAATAGAGCTTCACAATGTTATACGAAAATCACTTCAACAAACAATTTACATTGCAACAGTAGCAGAGAGGGAGGAGATGTACCAGACAAGGTGTACATAGGTTGAAGCGCAAGATTTCCGGTTACACCAAAGGAACCTAAGTGAGCTCGAAGCTTTTGTTCAGGAACTCCCTGCGGGAAGAATGCCACATAGGAAGGTATTTTCAGATAAAATGACACAATGTACGACTAGCTCATATTCCGCAATGAAGTAAATCAAAACGACTGATACTTTAAAGAATTGAATGGATTTTCCCCCGAGGTCACTGCTGACCATGCAAACGCAGAGGCACGCACTATATCGTTACAATCTCAACCAAACAAGCATAAGTATATCAGCTAAAAGTTTCTAGCAAGCTGTAAGTAATAGTCCCTACCCCACCCAAGATCATGACCCAAATGGAAGGTGATTTAAGGAATATCAATGCTGTCATAAATTGGAGTTGTATTGAAAGCATAAATTGGAGTTGTATTGAAAGCTTAAGGCCATGAGCCAAATGGAAGGTGATTTAAGGAATATCAATGCTGTCATAAATTGGAGTTGTATTGAAAGCTTAAGGCCATGAGGTGCACCAGAATTTTATCCCAGATCGACCACTTAATGCTACGAAGGATCATTGTCAATAGAAAGAAAGTTGTTGATTCTAAAGAAAACCATAAATAAATAAAAAAACTGCATCCCCTTTCTTCACATTCACATCACAGCTTCCACATATATGATCATGATTACTCTCTCTGAAAGAAAAGGACCAAATGCTAAATGTTTCAGAAGCGTTTCTCCTTTCATGTGGAGAATTAAAGAAAGATCCCCCTCCAAGCCGTACATACGATTCCGACAACTTCAGTAGAAAGAGAGGCATTTACCTATTACAAAGATGGTGCTATTTGATTATTATTATTTTTGAAGTATCTTTTCTACTTTATTTACCGCGTTTCTTTAGAGTGGATGCTACAGAATGTTATTCTCAATGTTCTATTTTTTTTATTGTTTGAATATTTGGGAACTAAGACTATTCCAATGCTCCTTTTCGCCATGCCTAAACTGAACCAACCAGATAACAGCAAACACCGCCTTAAGAGAACTTTTTCCTTTAGAAATATCAATTTGAAATATGAATAAAAACATGAGAACTTACCGGAAAACAGTGCATCATGTATAGAAGTGGACTTGAGGACAGGTCTAGCCCATCAACATGGTGCTGACTAAAAACAGCGATGCGAACCTGTCGAAAATCATATTTAAGCCTAAAGAGTCAGTCCAAAGGGAGAAAAAGGCTCCACACTAGCAAAAATTGAAGTAACATTGTCAAGTACTCTTCTTAAGTCTGACATAATTGATGTGAACCAAATTAATAGTTACCATTCATAACTACGGATGACTTTCAGAAAGATATAGGTAAACAAGCAAAATTCTTGTACCATGCATGTCAGGAAAACAACAGTTACAATGTCCAGAGAATATCAAGAAGCTTGATCAGTAAAAATGAGACAATACACCTTCGCCGAACGGAAAACTGTCCCAGAACTTGGCTGTAGTTCCCCGCCAATTAGTTTGAGTATTGTTGACTTGCCAATGCCATTTGGCCCGACCACTGTATAACAGTCAACGCTCTTTAATTACTCAGAAGTCCAGAAAATGATAGATGCAGCATGACCTTAAGCACTACAGATAATACAGCAAATGTTTCTAAAAAAAGTGGGTTTCTGTTCCAAAGTCAAACTTCATACTTCCTAGAATGACATGCACTTGTTAATATAGTAGAATATATGAGAAAACACTATTGAAGCTTCATATTGGGTCACAACTTTTGTGAACAAAAATATCTGAAAAACTATTCAAACTGCAAATAAGTAAAATAAAGAGTTACCCCTCGAAAGTAAAATCATGCTTACTTGCAATACGACTGTCTAGATCTATGCCAAAGTTCAGATTCTTGAACAGTAGGGGTCCACCAGGATAACCAAATGATGCATCACTGCAACCAAGTACAAAACTGTGTAACGAAGAATCCAAGAAATCCTAGTATACACACCTCCAATCTTAGGAAGAGACACAAAGGGAAAGGGAGTGGCATCCAGCCCTCTAAGCAGACTAGAGGAATCGCATTCCATTAAAGGTTTCCATTAAACTTGACAAGTGGACATAAGAGATGGTGACAGAGAGCATAAGCTATAAGAATTCAAAACAACGTATCACAACTACCTGCAAAAGTTGATGTGGAATATCATGGTTGCAAATCATGTCGCATTACATCACCATATACCCCTAGAAGTAATAATTAACTTGGTATGTAGTTTTACATCAAAAGGAAAAATGTGGAGGGCGTCCCACTAGTTCGCCCTTCAACTTTTCAGCCTTTAACCATATTTAAGTTAATCCTTGCTCTTTCAATCAGCCTTCAACTTTAGTCAAGTTTGTAAGTCATCCACTAGCAAATAATATGATATCACTCCTGTAAACTCCAACTGCCTCACGAATTGGTTGGTCCTAAAAGAGTCATGGAGGGCACAATGAACATACCTTTTGGTACGAGTAGATAAAAGTATAGGCTTCGCCAAAACCGGCAATTAATATAAGTTATAATGACCATTAACTTGGGAGTTCAAATATAATGAGCCAAATTTGGATTACAGAGACACTTGAAGACAGAGCAGGGTTTTTCCATTTATACTAATTTGATTAAATGTGTATATAGTTTCTAGAACTTGAAACTCAACTTCTTAATGCATATTGGTTATCTACTTAAAGTAACTTATTGAGCATTTCTTCTTTCGTAGTTGGTACCTCTCCAATGGACTACATGCAGATACACTGGATGTGCATAGTAAAAGCCACACATTGTGGTTGTAAAATTGGAATCCTCAACACCAGGTCTGATAGACACATACTTAATTTAGTATTTTTCTTCCTCGATATCGACTAAATGAACAGACAAAATAAATATTCATTTATGTGACATCTTAACAAGATTTTGTAGAATCATGCACATTGCAAAACTTCAAAGCTAGTATGAGCTCGTAGATGATGACCAATAAGCTGTTGCAGTACAATCCGAACCTGAAACTGATTATCGGAGGGCCTGGCCTATCATCAGGTGTTGGAAATTCAAACTTGTAGCTGCAAACGAAGGACAGACAAAAATAGACGCAATTATTTAACTGTCAAAATTGATAGTAAAATTGACAAGTCATAAACAGAAAGATTGAGCATACTCAGGGTCATTAACGACTTCATCCACGTGGCCCATACGATCCAATGCCTGAAATTAAATGGGAATTTGATGGTATAGCATTGTGCATAAAAGCATCTAGATAAAGCTAAAACAATAAAAATTACGATAAGATTTTCTTTTGTTAACTCAAGAAAACTGTTGAATGAATGCTACCTTTTCATGAAGAATTTTAAATGAACTTGAACGAAATGCCACAGAATGCTGGACCCAGAAACCACTTAGGAGAAAGAGAGAGGAGCAGGGGGGTTCCAACATTTATAATTACCTTGATTCTTGACTGAACAAGCGAGGCCCTCTTCGCGTTATAGCGGAACTTGTCAATGAAGGCCTGGAATTTGCACTCATGCGTGTTAAAACGTAACTTATACTTTTCTTCTCAATGCAAATAGCAATTCATCACCAATTAATGGAAACTACAGGACAAAAGAAATGAGAATAATCTATCCAAAAAATGAACATTTGCAGACTTTTCCACAAAATGTCCTAACATGACAGCATATACCTAGCGTCATCTAAACTTGAAGAAAGAAATAGGCAACAGATCAACCTAAACTCTAAGCAGAATGCCAACCACAAAGGTTTTAACTTAACCAGACAGAATTTTTTTTTTCAACAAGCCATTTTCCGCCCTAAAAGACGAGTGATTGAGCATGCATTCAGGATAGTAGCTGATTGAGAGAGGCTTGACTCAACTGCGTAGTTACATAATGCATAAGTTATAAAAAGTATAGGACAAAAGGATTTTCCTTTTAGAAGCTTTAAGCAGCAATTGCAAACACAAGCCACCTAAAAACAGATGATGATTGCAGCACAATAGCGGAAAGGCAACAGAAAATGTAATTTCACCAACTAAAGAAACCAGGAACAAAGTTACCTGAAAAGAAAACATGAAGTGTATGGCATTATTATAAAACTGGTTGTAAGCATAAAGCACACCTGCATATGCGCTCTCGCTCGTTCACTAGACTCAAAAGCTTTCTGTTGGTTCTTAAGCTGTTCCACTCGTGTTCTCTCAAATGTGTCATAATCCCCTTTGTAAGTAGACAATTTTTGCCCTTGTAGATGTATAATATCAGTCACTACCTGAGAAAGTAAAATCACGTTAGAAGGAAATGTCAAGACAAATGTGACTACAGGAGTTGCCTATTCAATATTCCACTTCCAGAAACCAGATCCTAAGAAAATAAAGAAGGGGAGAAAAGAAAGCTGAAGAGTTCTTACAGTGTTCAAGAATTCCCTCGCATGAGAAACAACAATAAAAGTCTTCGGCCATTTAACAAGATAAGATTCCAGCCACAGAACAGCATGGAGATCAAGATGGTTCTACATAAAGAGATTGTACATAATCATTAATCATTTTATTTTATTGATAAAGCTCAAACATTGAAAGTGGTTAATCAGATACACACCGTAGGTTCATCAAGCAACAGTAAATCAGGCTCCACAAATAGTGCCCGAGCAAGTGCAATTCGCATTCTCCATCCACCAGAAAAAGTTTTTGTTGCTTTATGCTGCATCTCTGGAGAGAAACTGAGACCCTGGTAATTTTGTAGGTTTTAGAGAAGAATCAGTCCAATAAACAAAGTCCATGCAGAACACAAAGCGACCGCTGGATCATATCCACAAGTCGGCCAACATGCATAATCACATGAAGTATGTATATTTACTCCTGAATTTGTATTCACAATTTACACATGCATACACACAAAATACATATTAGTCAGTCCTCCCAAGAAAAAGTCATTTAGATGAACCCAATTTGCTCCCATTTCATGGACTAGATTGCTTTAGCAGATACCAAACTACCCTTATTAAAGATATTTCCAATAAAACAAGGACCAAGAGCACCAGGCAACATCAGAAGCGAGAAGTCTAAGCATGCAATCAGTTCCTAAGCAGCCCCACTTTGTCATTGGTACCAGTTGGCATGCTCGATGAGCACGGGCAAATTTATATAGCAAATGTCCACTTTCCCAAACCTTCCTCCTCAATTTCATTTTTAATCAATAAAGGAGCATTCTCATCCTATTTTCCAATTTTCGAAGGCAGTATATCAATCTCCTTCCTTATTTGTTCAAGCATCATTCACTCTGTTCAATACTCTTGTGAAAACCAAATCTGACTTCACCAATGATGCGGTAGGATGAACAAGAAAAGTCTTATGTGTAAACTGTGTAGTTTGTGAACCTACTGAACCAAAAAAAAAAAAAAATTTAAGACTCACCGCTAGAATGGAAGCTGCCCGAGCTTCTGCAGAATCAGCATCAATAAGCTCAAGCCTCTTGTATATTTCTTCGAGTCTTTGTCCAATTGCATCTGCATTTGGCCCCTTTAGATCCCCATTGCTCTTTCCACCGGCACTCAAAAGCTCCAGTTCTCTCTATTAAGAGAATCACATTAGCCAACAGATAAATTTCAGGAAAAGAGAAGAGAAAAAAGGGAAGGCGGGATATCTCAACAAGCAACATATCTCAACTTTCACATACCTGCTGGGAAATTAATCGAGCTTCTTCTTGCAAGAGCTGTGTCCTTTCAACATCAGTGTCAAGAACACATTGTAAGGCTGTGGTATCATCACCAGCCACTTCTTGCTCGACGTGTAATATCTGGCAATTTCGAGGAATACCCTCGATCGCATGCAGAGCCAAGTGCCTGAGGAAAGTTGTCTTTCCAGTACCGTTTCTCCCAATAAGGCCTGAAGATATGGTACAGAAGCAACCATCAAGTCTCAATCAGCACTAACCACAAATAAAGATTTATTCGACCATATAGCTTCCAAAGACATGATGTTTTCTCCTCTCTTTTCCTGTTTCTATATGTGGGACAGTAATTTCTATTTGAAAGGGAAAGCAAACTCACCATAATGCCTTCCAAAAGAAAGGGTTATGCAACCATCTACAATGAGATCACGACCACCCACAGACACATTAAAGTTTTCCAAATGGATGTCCCTGAAAGCTGGTCCAGTACTACCGTCATGATTTACAGAGACAACAGGCATTCCTGCTCTGACTGCTTCCATCTCTGCCACATGCATTTGGTATTCTGCCTGAAAAATCATCTAAAAGGAATTATTACAAGAATCATCAAAATGTTCCATCAGCTTTATGCATCTCAATCATCATGACACTTAAACCACAATTCACCAAGGTTACTAGGTGAGGGGCAGCAAAATCAAACACACCCAAGCTAGGCAGTCTAATCAGTAAATCAATGAAACACTACCTCTCTCTGCCGCTCCTCCTTCCTCTTTCTCCGCTCGATCTTCGCTCGATCACGCTCAGACAGAATGGGACCATCAAAGACCTCTTGTTTCTTCTTGGGGACCACCTCCTCATCCATTCCGTCATCCATTCTAAAAGGCGTCGCAAGGCTCCGAACTGTTGGCTTAGCTTTAACCAGACCATGCTTCCCAAATTTCTCAGTTAATTTGCTGCAGACCTATCACAAATTGTACAAGTGACAAGACAGAAGTGCAAGCTCATCATTACCTCATCGCCACCTCTCAAGAGTCAGGCAAAGAAAGCAAATTCCACATTCCCCAAACTCCAAAACATAAAACTCATCACAAACAACACCTCTCACTCAAATTGCCTTCGCCGCCGACACCAATATCGACATCTCGCGACCTAACAACATGATGCTTACACAAAATCGAACGGCACTACTTAGCATGAATCGATCGAAAAACAGCTCGTTGAGTGTCCGACTGTCGATTCACCACAATACAAATCGCAAGAAGAAAGGGACAAGAGAGCAGCCAAACTGAACGGCTCTGCGAATCCCGGAACTTACCAGGCGGCTTTCGTCGAAGTCAGAGACGCATTCGGCGCCGACGAGGAGCTCGCCGATGGCGTCGAAGGCGCCGTCGCCGTCGTCGCCGAAGTCGAAGTCCTCGTCGGCGAGGACGTTGACGATGTAGTCGACGATGGGCTGATCCACGTCCTGGAGCCTCGGGCCCAGCACGTCGTGCACGATCGAGCTCGCCACTTCAGCCATCCTTCGCGGTTTGCAGGGTTTTTCTGCGGAGGCTCGGGACCTTAAGAGAGCGCTTCGGCTTCGTCGGGTTGACGATGGCAGGCACTGGGGCTGATAAACAGCGCGTCGTATTGAGAAGCTCCGATGCTTCCTTCGGTGCCTGTGATGGCGCAGCCCAAACGACGAGTAGTTCCGGGATGGTTTAGGGTAGACGGGTCTGTCGGGTAAGTCGAAAATGGCCCGACCCAAATTAACATATCTAACCCATTTTGACCCGTATTCATGCAATTCCATACTTGACCCGATCCATATTACTAAAACACTTTCATATTTAACTAAATATATGAAAATTCATATCAAAGTGAGATGAAAGCGCGAAGTAAGCGAGCGCGAGAAAAAGTAAAAAGAGAGTCACATAGGTGGGTTGGGTCTAACGCTATCAAATAGGTTGGTCAGGTCGCATATAGATTGTGTTGAAAATAATCCAACTCAAATTGACCCATTTATATGCAATACAAACTGAGAGACCCATACTCAACCTGACCCATATACTAAAATACTTTTATATGTAATCCAACCTGTGATTATTTGTATTCGCCTAGTTGACCTACTTCAAGCTCTTCATATAATATTCTTCTTCCTCAATCTTCGGAGAATGCGGCGTGGTATTATTGTAGACTATAAGATGCTAAAAAATTGGCTTTAGACATTATATAGAATTTTCAATTTTTATATTGATTCATAATGAAAAGCAACAAATAACGTGGGGAAATTGAAATTTTAATTAAATGGAATGTAAGATATTGAAGAAGGTGATGACAATTCAATGCAAAAAAAAGAAGAAGAAAATGATTTATGCTGACCACGGATTACAATGTTAAGATTAGAATATTATATAAAATAACAATGCCAAATAAAACCAAGGAAAGATATACTCGAATAATTAACGGATGAAACTTGCAAGATTAATAAAAAAAATAATGGGCAAAAAAAAGAAGCCATCTTGATATTTTTAATAAAGGTGAAGTGAAACCCATCTTACAAGTCCATCAAGACTTCTCTAAACTTGAAACAATCCAGAGAGTCATTATAATGACTCAGCCCATAAAATATGAGTTAAAAAATGAGTTTATAATCCATATTTATAAATCGGGTTAGGTTTGAGTAAGTTATGGACCTATTTAGCACTCATATTATTTTGAGTTTTATCTTTCTAAGCTTATTTATGATTCATTTATTAAATATAATTAACCCATATAACAACTCAACCGATTAAATATGGGTTAAAAAGTGCACCTATTACCCATTTTGACAAGTCTAGTTTAGGGTGCGCACGCCACTTAGGTGCTTTGACGATCATGGGTGTGTTTTTGGTATGGTTTTGTCATAAAAAAAGACATAAATGATTTTTAAACTTTGACTCAAATACATAATATAATTTCTGAATTTTTAATTTGTTGAGAGTAGCCCCTCAATTATTGATAAATATTTAATGAAGTCTTTTTGTTTGCTCGCTGATACGGAAAAGGAAAAAAAATTGGGGTGGGAACATATTCATCATCATTCGATGACATGGATTATTATTTTCTAATTTGAGATAAATATCTTACTTATATAATCCATGCATAACTTTCTTTTTATCGTCCGATGTTCAAACTTAGCAGATTGGAGTCATATCAGCAAATTCCATTAACTTAAATTAACGGAAGTTGAACAAATTAAAAGTCCACGTACAACATTACATATTGGACTAAAATTCAAGAACAATTTATGTCATTTTTTCTTGTTCTGCAGCTACTCCAACTATGGCAATGGGTGAGTTTTGGCTTTTTGAAACATTTGTAAAAATCTCTTAAAAAACTTTATCTTTTCCCATTGTCATCAAATATTGTCCTAGAAATTTAATGCAAAAACTAATAACATTTTCTTTTTGTCTATCATATATCTAACTCTCCTCACTTTTTGACTTTTGCTCTGCCTCTTGCAGAGCGTGGGAGTCGAATTCCGCACTTATGATACTGACGTCCTCACCCCCAAATTCCTTTACCAGCAGGACCGCATGCCTATTGGCGAACTAATAACATTACTATATTAATTTCATAACCACAATGGTACTAAAATTAGAAACATATACAATAACAATCATTCAGTGAAAATGGTATATTACAAAAGTTTCGATAATAAAGGCATAAACGTCGGCAACAATCCTACGACAATATCACGAGTGTTTTTCGTCATTTTGATAACCACAACAATATGTTAACAGGCTGTTACCAAATAGCGTTTGCCAAACGCACTAATCATTCGTAATAACAGCACAACATCTTTAAATAATGTTTCGCAAAAGGCATATGCTTTGATACAACATACCTACAACACTGTTACGACTGTACCAAAGAGACTACGGTCAATTCAAGATAAGGTTTAAGACACGTGACTCGAAAATCACATCTTTACTTATTAATTGGGGACCAATACCAAAAATATACCTGAGATTTCACCTTGTGACAAAAAAACATACTTCTATTTTTTAAATTACAAGTTGCATGTCGCAGGCTAGCAAAATTATCCACCTATCAATAACTTTGCCACAACACTTTTCGAAAATACCCTCACCCCACTCCCACGCACGCCGCAACCACACGAGCACCCCTTCGCCCATCTCTCTCCCGTCTGCATCTCTCTTATCTCTTATGTCTCTCTCCTCGTCTAGTCTCCCTATCTCCTCCAAGCTCGAGCCCGCACTATGATTGCTCGGCGTGGCCATGGTCGCACCAAATCTGAGATCACGGTCATGGCTGCAAAAGCTCGAAACTCGGAACTTGAGGCCATGGCCCTTGAAGCTCGGATCTAGCAGCCGTGGCCCAAATCTACCATCTCACGGTGACGCAAGAGAGGGGAGTCAACTGTCGAGAAGGCCATGGCGGGACAGGAGGTAGACGGTGTGGTCGCACAATGGTTGTGGTGGAGGAGAGATGGGTCAGATTCGTGGAAGAGTTTGGTCGTTTCGACAACTTGATTTTCGCTTAGTACATAGATATCCGATACTAGCATATACAAAATGCTTATGCTAAGGTTTAGGGATCAATATTGGTTTGCCATTTTTTGCCATTGAAAGAGTTTTCTCCATAAGAAAAGATGACCCACTTTCGTATCATTTGGGCTTCACTGAGATTAGGTGAAAAATTCATCAACACCTTAATTTCTTAGATTGTTTCGTGCTTGCTCAACGCAAAGTGGAAGAAGGTTCCCCGAACATTCATCAAACGACCTTGTTTACTGAGGAAGTCAGATGCCAAGAAGCCTTTTCCCAAACTCTCATGGAAAACTCTTCGGCCCCCAAAAAAGAAGCTCATGCGAAACATTCAACCTTCTTTTCTTTACGGACCTTTCTTTTCTCAAGTCATTCATTAGAAAACAATGAACAATTGGTAAATATGTCACACATATATAAATTTGAGATTTTCGGTATCATAAAAAAAAATTTAAGAGTAAATATGCCATAATGGACATAATTTATATATTTTTTTGTGGCTTTTGCCATTTGTTTTTAGTCGTTCCAAGTATTTTTGGATAAATGTGAAAATTTAGGATTAGGAGAAAAACAAATTTGGAAGGAAAGTTCTATTTTTGTAAATATAGGGTAGCGATCTCCATTAATAAAATCTAGAAATATATATATAAGAAAAAATCTCTCTAGTAGAGTCCAAAGTCCACCGAGGAGGATCCGACGTGTCCACCCCGCAAAACCGAACCCGTCCAACGGTCCAGGACCCGGACCACCCCCTTCGATACGACACGACCCATCTCCATCTCCTCCCTATTTCATCTCCGACGTCGCCAATTCCCCTGCAAAATATTCCCCAAGCGCAACGCCTCCAGATTCCGCCCTCCCTCTCTCTCTCTCTCCTACTCCGCATCCATCTCCTCCAGCAATCGCCGTCGCGAGCCTCCGCCGGAAGGATTCCACCTCCCCGTCGCCGCCGTCCGGTTGGCGATTGTTCCTCGTTCCGGCGCCGGAAACTTTGCAGGCGAGGCGTTCGACGATGAGGCTGCTGAAGGTGGCGACGTGTAACTTGAACCAGTGGGCCATGGACTTCGACTGCAACGTGAAGAACATCAAGGAGTCGATCGCCGAAGCCAAGGGAGCCGGCGCGGTGATCAGGCTCGGCCCCGAGCTGGAGATTACCGGCTACGGCTGCGAGGACCACTTCCTGGAGCTGGATACCGTCGCTCACGCGTGAGTTTTTGCTTGCCTTGCATCCTCGTCGCTTCGATTTCGTGTCCTTATTGGGAGAATTACGCGGACGAGCGTTTCCTAGTCTGCAGCGAGTGATTGTTCTTGGATTTGAAGTAGATTGTGCCAGAGTGAGTAGCATCAGGTGGATTGATCTGGTCGAGTAGCGTTTTTCTAGTTTTTCGGAGGCCGCTAGGTCATGTTGTAGTTGGAGAGAGTGCTATGTGATTCAATGTATGTGTGGTAGCATCGAGAGAGCTGGTGCTCGGCTTAGTTGCATTGGATTGTGAGTTTCATTAAGTGGGGTTGGAGTTTACAGAGATTGAGGTGATGTATTGCCTTCTCGGATTGAATTTTGATTGCAATTGGTGGTCTTTTGGAAGTACAAGGATGGAATTATTTTCCAACAATTTCACTTCCCGGATTATATCATCTCTCGATTATTGTTGATGTTCGGATTGGTGCTCTTTCAGGTGGGAATGCTTGAAGGACCTTTTACTGGGCGACTGGACCGATGGAATATTATGCAGCTTCGGTATGCCTATCATTAAAGGATCAGAGCGCTACAACTGCCAAGTTCTTTGCATGAACAGAAAAATCATCATGATCCGCCCAAAAATGTGGCTTGCAAATGATGGAAATTACCGGGAACTTAGGTGGTTCACACCATGGAAGCAAAAAAACCAGCTTGATGACTTTCAGCTTCCCAGTGAAATTTCTGAGGCCGTGTCACAGAAAACAGTTCCTTTTGGATATGGATATATACAATTTTTGGACACGTGAGTTACAGATTTACTTGCCCTATTCGTGTCCTCTCTGTTATCGTATTAATCTTTCTATTTATCTCTACAACATATGTCTTCCTCTTTCAACTTTGCAAAGATTCTGGATGGTATGTTTGGTTTTTGTAATCTTCGGATGAAAAGGCCCTTAGACAATGGATGCCGTTGAGGTGTGCCGGCATTACATCTAAGTTGTACTATGCCACATTTGGAAGGGTAGAGATGCCGCTTGCAGTAAAATTGAGGTGTAATCCATTTTGTAATGGCTATCTGGCTAGCATCAAATCATTAAGATTATGAGTCATGTCTATATCTGTAAGGCTTGTGGGATAAATAGCATATCTCAAACTTATTGTCATATTCTTTGGGCTTTTCAAGCCTTTTCAGCTCATGCTCTTTAATTGAGAATTCCCGTACACTTTTGACAGGGCTGTTGCTGCTGAAGTTTGCGAGGAACTGTTCACTCCTTTGCCCCCTCACACGGAGCTTGCATTGAATGGAGTTGAAGTGTTTATGAATGCAAGTGGAAGTCACCATCAGCTTAGGAAGCTCGATGTCCGTCTTCACGCTTTTATAGGTGCAACTTATTATCGCGGTGGAGTTTACATGTACAGCAATCATCAAGGATGCGATGGTGGCCGCCTATATTATGGTACATAGCATGAATACAAACTGTGAATGACCACTGTCCTTTCTTTTCCTAATTCCCATCGTGCTTTTGATTGTTAAATACAGACAATTCCTTTATTTAGGTAGTTTTTCTTTTTTGTTGTTGTGATAATTAATCTTCGATTGAATCTGTTAGTATTGTCCATCAGATTTTAATGTTATTGATGTTGTTGCAATATCTTAATTCAGATGGATGTTCCTGTGTGATTGTAAATGGTGATATGGTTGCTCAAGGATCCCAGTTTTCCTTGAAGGATGTTGAGGTTGTAATTGCCGAAATCGATCTGGACGCGGTAGGCTGCGCTGCGACACTACTTTAATATTTATGTACAAACATTTTGTAGGAAGTGTCTGAATATTCAATTTACTCCACACACACACACGCTTTATAAGTTGCCGCATACACCATTCAATGTCAGGAATATGTACACAGTCTATGAACTTGACTCTGTGTGTGTGTGGGAGGGTGGGTGCTTTTTCTTTTTTTTTGCCCGGGGGGGGGGTTGTTGGAAGAGATAGTATTGCCTTTGATAGGCTAGTAGATTTGGTTTAAGGTGTTATTTTAGAAACCTGTAGTATTTTAGACAAGATCTTTGATTTTAATTATGGAATAGTGCCTTGTATATTACACTGAAATGATTGACCATATGAAAGACACTTAATGGAAAGAACACTTTAAAAGGTGAGAGCTGTGATTTCTGACTAGAAGACATGATCTCTGGCCTTCTTCTTGTTAGTTGATTATAATTTGTGTTGTAGTCGGCAAATGCACGAGTCCAGAAATAGAAGAATCTAATGGATTTTGCGCCATTGATGTTTTGATTTTATATGCTGTAACAAAAAAATTCTTTTAATAATAAGGAAAAAAAGTTATTCACTGATATCCTGATTAATTGATGTTCACTTTTGAATGGATTTGATAGATTCCTCAACTTGTGAGATTGATGGCAGGTTGCTAGTTTTAGAGGATCTATTAGTAGTTTCCAAGAGCAAGCAAGTGCTAAGACTAAAGTACCATCAGTAGCAGCGCCTTACAATCTTTGTCAATCATTCCATCTTCGGATGTGCCTTTCAGGTCCACTAAAGGTGAGTTCTCTTTAAGAAATGCTTGTGCACATGATTTGCTCACATAGACCTGGCCTTTAAGCTCATATTTCTTCGAATGATTGCTAGGAAAGGTCCAGATCGATCTGAACATGAAACTCTTTCTTGTATAGAAACACACCATCCTCAATTTGACTTAATGAGAAATGGAAAAGGGGGAAGGATTTTGCAATATCTGAATATAAGAGGCCTTGTTATAAAACATTTGTATTCTCATAATAATGTGGAGCTCATCTTGCTTGGCCGAATTAGGTTGACAGGTCGTTCGTTTGGCTTATTTAAAAGCTTGATTGTAAGGTTAAGTGATTTGGCGACAAAAATAATTATTTTCTTTTTAACTGTATACCTAATGGATCTTGTTTTCCTTCAATAACTTCATTTAAATCTTGCAGAGTAATTGTTTCTTGCTAGTACCAGATAAAGAGTTTAATATGTTCAATTTCTGTCTGCAGCATTAATTAAATATCTGACTCATAATGAAATTGCATACTGTATATAGATCAAGTATCATTCTCCTGAGGAGGAAATAGCCTTGGGACCTGGTTGCTGGCTCTGGGATTATCTAAGGAGAAGTGGAGCCTCTGGTTTTTTGCTTCCTCTCTCAGGTGGTGCGGACAGCTCGTCTGTAGCTGCCATAGTTGGCTGCATGTGCCAACTTGTTGTAAAAGGTCAAGTTTAAACAGAGACCTTACTCTGCACAGATCCAACGTGCCCTTCATAATTTTTTTTTTCTTTTCTGAGATCTTCATTGTCCATTTCAGATTTGGGTTGTTTCATATTATCAGTGGGTAGTATTGAATGCAGAGTTCCTACATGTATAGATATTGAGTTGGTGGTTTTCAGCTATCTTTGTGGACAGACAGGATTTGGGGCATTAACACTTCTGCACTAGAAACTTCAAATTAGCCTTTTTTATCTATCCCATAGCAGTTGCTACAAGATAGGACATAATGGCATAAGAATGGATCCATGTAGCCTGGTTCACTTTCTAAGTATAGATCTAGAGTTGATGGTTCTCAGTTATCTTCATAGACAGATAGGATGTGGGGCATTAGCACTACTGCATTAGAAACTTCAAATTAGCTTGTTTTAGACTGTCGCATGGCATTTGGTACAAGACAGGGCAAAATGGTGTAAGAATGGATCCATATAGCTGGGTCCACCTGGTTGGAAAAGCTTGGTGGTCTTTGTCGACTGTGGGAGCCTGCCACCTTCTATTTCTGACTTTTTCAGGATGGGAGTCATTAGCCAGAGTCATTTAAGTACCTAGTGGATAGACAAATGCAGAGCAATCTAGTAATTTGGTTGGAGTGACTAATCCTCTTGGCTGAGCCCTCTGGTCATTTGGTGCTCTATCCTATTTCACAAGCCCGCACACCACCAGACAGTCTTGACAGTGTAAACTTCTTGATGGTCGCAGAAATTGCAAATGGTGATGAAGAAGTGAAAGCTGATGCAATACGCATTGGACGGTATGCTGATGGACAATTCCCCACTGACAGCAAAGAATTTGCAAAGAGGATATTTTACACGGTTTATATGGGAACTGAAAACAGGTAAACTTCTGCTAACTAAAATTCTTGTTTCATATGAAGCTCCTTGATCAGTATGTGCTTCGGTCTGCACTCAATAAAGAAAAAAAGACGAACAAAATAGAAGCTTGTTTTTTCTCTTTAGAAATCATGAATAATCTGAAGAAAATCGATCTCATGCCTTAGATGCTTTTTGTGTTATGAGTTTACTGTTCTGAATTTGGTTGGGTATATGTTCTAGCTTTCCTTGTAGTAGCATTTGAGCAGATTTTGGAGCAGTCTTTTCACAAACTTATTGGCATATGTATTCCTTCTTATTGTCAGCTAATGAGATTGTTCTGTTCATTGGTCAGTTATGCTGTCCACATTTCCTATAATGCTAAGTACCTTGGCCTTACCTGAAATTACAAGTTTTCGATAGCATGAGCAAAGATGCAATCATCAGACATGAGAATTGACTGAAGGTAATGGATAGACAAATTGAACATTAGGGTGCATGTCTGCTCCCAATTGAGGTCCAATTCCTTGTGAAATCTTGCTTTCTCATGGTACCGGCCATCAAAAGGGAAAAGAAAGTTACTTGAGACTGATGAACATCGAGGGGGGCCAAGTCATTTGGCAGGTTTGGACAGACGTTAATACCGGATTCTCCGACACAAATTAATACCTGATTCTTTGTGAAGCCTCTCTTGACACTGATGATCACCAAAGAGGAACAAGTCATTTAATAAAGTAATGAAGATTTATTAAGGAAATAGTAAAAGTCATTTAGAATAAGGCCATCCTGATCTTTAGGAGAGATTGACTGCTTTGTGTGCCAAAAAAGAGAATTATGGGAGACGTGGTGATGACTCATTGACCGTGGTTCTCATTAGTGCTAATTGGATCTTTTGACTGAAAGACCATCTTATGCGATTGTTTGCTATGTGCATTCTGAAATTAATTTAGTTCATTAACAGGGTTTGTTTCTCTCAGTTCAGAAGCCACAAGATCACGGGCAAAGCTGTTGGCAGATGAGATCGGTGCCTGGCATCTCGATGTTTGTATAGATAATGTTGTTTCTGCACTTCTCTCTTTGTTTGAAAAGCTTACTGGAAAGAGACCACGCTATAAGGTAAAGTGGCTTCATAAGATAATGTGCGCAAGTCTCCTAATAAAAGCAGAAAAAGTTTGTTCAGCCTGGATGCCAATTCAAAAAACTCTTTTCAAATTTTCTCACATTCTGATTTTCTTTTGAAGGTTGATGGGGGATCAAATGCTGAGAACCTAGGGTTGCAGAACATTCAAGCACGAATCAGAATGGTCCTGGCATTTATGTTGGCATCACTCTTGCCCTGGGTGCACAACAAGTCGGGGTTCTATCTTGTTTTGGGTAGCTCCAATGTGGATGAAGGATTGCGTGGTTACCTGACGAAGGTTTATTATAACAATACCTCCTCTTCTTTTCAGCATTAGCTTTGTATACATTTACACATGAGATATGTAGATAAAAGTATATATAATTGCACAACCGTACTTAGTACTTACAGTCATAGGCCAATGTACAATTTAAGCTAGAGCATTCGGACATCTAAGATCTAATGAGGATGTTCCTGGATGTACATGTGTCTGCGTATATATGCAAGGATTCTGGTAGGTGGGTGTGTTTGTACAGCCATGAGTGATTGCATGTGTGCGTTTTCATTGAAAGCATCTTTTTATACTTGTATCATCATACTTGGTCCATAGTGACAATCTTCATATGGTAACTCGTCTCTTTTGCAGTATGATTGTAGCTCCGCAGATATTAATCCAATTGGAAGTATTAGCAAGCAGGATCTCCGGTCATTTTTGCGATGGGCTGCCAACCATCTTGGTTACTCATCCTTGGCAGAGGTTGAAGCAGCTCCTCCTACTGCTGAACTGGAGCCTATACGTTCTAACTATAGCCAGGTCCTCCTTCAAAGTAGCATGAATAATTTTAAGTTTGTGGTCAAGTTATTAAATAAATTTCACACATCTCACTCCCTGCCATATTGTTAATGTTTTATTGGCTTCAGATATGTCATCATGATTTAAACATACGATATAGCATTCGTAAACCAAAACTGCAAAATGTATTGAGATGTCTTAATTGTCTTGATAATCTTCCTTTTTAAGGCACTTACCATTCCTAAACTTTCTTATTTTGCCGGCCAAGTTAGGATTGAAGTAAATGAAGACATGCAATTCATTTGTTGAGTCATATTTTCTTACTTGTACGCAGCTGGATGAAGTCGATATGGGTATGACCTATGAGGAACTATCCGTCTACGGAAGATTGCGGAAAATTTTCCGCTGCGGTCCAGTTTCAATGTTTCAGGTTTGTTCTGAACTCTAGTGCTCCTTTTTAGTCGAATTTGAGGAGGTTGACGACATTTCAGACCAAATATATGTGACAAATCATAATACCGAGGACATATTACTTAGAATCTTAACCAATAGATATTTATGGATCTTGATTCAAGTGCCTTCTGTGATGTTTCCTACTTGAGGACTCATGGTTTCTGCACAATGTCGCTTGTTGCAGAACCTCTGCTATAGATGGGGCACGAAATTAACTCCTGCGGAGGTGGCTGAGAAAGTGAAGCATTTCTTCAAGTACTATTCCATTAATAGACACAAAATGACCGTTCTGACACCTTCCTATCATGCAGAGGTATGTTGCTTTAGAGAGCAAGTTCCTTATCTAACACTCTTTCAAGGAAGTTTATTCTCGAATAAAACGCTCAACTTTTCTGGTTTTGCTGCAGAGTTACTCCCCCGAAGATAACAGGTTCGATCTCCGCCAGTTTCTCTACAACGTGAGGTGGCCATTCCAATTCCGCAAGATCGACGAACTTGTGCAGAAGTTGGATGGCGACGAGATTGCGATCAAAGAATCGGCCGCAGGTACGTCGGATGGAGAGGGGATGGGAGTTGTAGCAGCAGGCTCAGGGGATCCTAAAGCCGGTGTTTAACTCTGACGAAGATGCATACGGCACAATTACCAAAGGAGGCATGGGATTCCGACTCCCGTGTTTCAAAAAATGACAAAACAATAACAAGAATTGATTACAATAGAATTCTTCAATCCTTGTCGTATATGTCACAATGTACATTCCATTTCCAAACTGTCATAAGAGCCTGTAACTACTCTTTACTTTGAGCATTGCTCTACATTCTTTTGATTTGTTTCAGCAGCAAATACAAGAACTGCCCACGAGCGCATTTAAGGGAAAGACAATGAGTAAGATGAGTAGATAAAGACTAATCAAAATGGTGACCAGCCTTGTGGTCCTCGGTCGTCCATATAGGGGTGAGCATGATTTAAGAATAGAAACTGGAACCTAAGAACCTGATCGGTGGAACCTGTAGGTTTTAGGTTTCAAGGTACGCAAGGTAGGTTTCAGGTTTCAAAAATTGTGAAACCTGTTTCGATGGATAAGTTCCTGGTTCTAGGTAGGTGGAACTTGGAAGCTGAAACTTGAAACCTTAAACAAATTTTTTGTGTTTTTTCTTGGTCTATGTATTCGCATGATCCTGTGTGTTCCATGACATTAGATTATGAGTGTATAATATGAAATCACTAGTTTGAGCTTTCATTTTATGACTTATTAATGTTTCATATTCTTCGTGTATCTAAATATAAGTTGCGATTAGTGGATCGTAGCAGCAAGTGATGGTCACTACAATTATTCAATTAAAAATATAGGTGGAACCTAGGTAGATTCTGAAAAGGTCGGTTCTAGGTTTTAAGGTATGTAGGATAAGTTCCAAGTTTCAAAAAATGAAGAACTTGTTCCTATGGGTAAGTTTTTGGAACCTGTACGAAACCTAAAACCGCTCACCCATAATCTCATAAGACTCTATTGCCAATGTGCGAGTTTGCCCAAGAATGCCCGACGCATCATTACTCGATTCTTATACTGTCTGCCTTTTCCTTGGGATTGTGGTTCTCGTTTGTATGTCTTCATTTTATATTCTATCAAACTCCGGCTAAGCAGCTCCTTATTTATGTAGGAGCTATAAACGTTTTAATTTTATTTATTTGTTGTGATGTTCATGAATGGTTCAGAATATTACAAAGAATTGAACCTTTGGACCGTTGGAGATGGGATTACTTCGTTGGTTTGTACAAATATTTTGGCTTCACCATGACTACTATCTTGGTTAGGGATTACCTGGACTACAAAGTCAAACCAGATTATAGAGCTAGAATAGCATTTAAAGTCACCGCAGCCGATTAGGCAAACATCTTTCGTCGGTCGAGTCCACTTTACGAGTTGCGTTCTTGACGAGATCAACTAATCCACACGCGCGCGCGCGCACCCGCTATCGGTCACACCACAGCCCACGTTGGTTAGTTCTGAGCTGGACCGTCAACGACTGCGAATAGTGAATTGAGCTTTACGTTTCCGCTTTCAAGCATGAAAGACTAGAGGCGAACGCAAGGATGGTGACCAAAATCTGGGAAATAGTTTTTCAGATAAGTAGAATTACAAGTACTTGAAAAGAAGAAGAAAAGTGATCTAATAAAATGTATCATCATATCCCGAAAGAACCAAGCGAAGGGGAACCATTGATCCCGAGTATTCCATGTCACAAAAATTTAACACCCGAGTCTTCCCTAGTCTAAACCTAATCGTCCGTTCTCTCTCCCGCCTTTCTTGGCATAAGCTCTCGATCGAACCGAAAACGGTTTAGAGCTCGTCGTGCGAATCATCGTCATCTTCAGAAGACTCTCCACCGCCTGGGGCTCCGCCTGACCTCTGGTAGACGGCAGTGATGATTGGATTGCACACAGCCTCGACCTCCTTGAGCTTCTCCTCGTAGTCTTCTTTCTCGGCGGACTGGTTGTCGTCGAGCCACTCGAGGGCCTCCTTGGTGGCGGTCTCGATCTTCTCCTTCTCGTCGGCCTCGAGTTTGTCGGCGAGCTTGTCCTTGTCGTTGATCTGGTTCTTCATGTTGTAGACGTAAGTCTCGAGGCTGTTCCTAGCGTCGATCCTCTCCTTCACCTTCTTGTCTTCCTCTGCGAATTCCTCAGCTTCCCTGACCATCCGGTCAATCTCCTCCTGGCTGAGACGACCCTTGTCGTTCGTGATGGTGATCTTCTCAGATTTACCCGTGCCCTTGTCCTCAGCCTTGACATTCAGGATACCATTGGCATCAACCTCGAATGTAACTTCGATTTGAGGGGTTCCTCTGTTCGATATAAGAATGGTATGAGTTTTACTACCAGCTAGCAGTTAAAAAAAGCAATTTTGATGATGGAATAACCAAATGTTAGAAAGGTGTTAGACAGATAGAACACAAACCTTGGAGCTGGGGGAATTCCAGACAAGTCGAATTTTCCCAAATTCCTACAATCCTTAGTGAGACTCCTTTCGCCTTCAAACACCTGTTACAGCACCGAAGCAACCCGACTAAGTTTCATTCCTTCTAACATAATAACTCCATCTTCCAGAAAGGAAAAAAAGAAGAAGAGGAGGAGTATGGTACCTGAATGGATACGGTGGTCTGCTGGTCCTGGTAAGTAGTGAAAACTTGTGATTTCTTAGTAGGGATGACTGTGTTTCTAGGAATCAACTTGGTCATCACCCCACCAACAGTCTCGATACCAAGAGTCAAGGGAGCGACATCCAAGAGAAGGATATCTGCATCGAGTATTGCCTTATGTCAGTAAGTAGTCTAGTAAATCATCTCTCACGACCAAGCCTAAGAAATTGAAATCATCTGAAAAAACAAGCATTCAAGCATGTGTGCGTGAAGCTGTGCATACCTTTGGTTTCTTCACCACCCTCTCCGCTCAAGATACTTCCTTGCACTGCTGCACCAAAAGCAACAGCCTCATCTGGATTCACACCCTTGTTGGGCTCCTTCCCATCAAAGTAGTCCTTAAGAAGTTGTTGAACCTTAGGAATCCTGGTACTTCCACCAACAAGAACAATCTCGTCGATCTGGTTCTTCTCCAAACCAGCATCTTCCATAGCTTTCTTCACAGGTCCCATTGTCTTCCTGAACAAATCGTTGTTCAACTCCTCGAACCTTGCCCTGGTCAATGGCTCAGAGAAGTCCGTGCCGTCAAAGAGCGATTCAATTTCCACTCTGACCTGATGCTGGCTGCTCAGAGCTCTCTTGGCACGCTCAGCTTCCCTCCTAAGTTTACCAAGAGCTCTGTTGTCCTTGCTGATATCCTTGCCATGCTTCTTCTTGATCAATTTAATGAAGTACTCCATGATTCTCTGATCGAAATCCTCACCTGCAAAAAAGCACATAATTAGTAAACAAACATGTTATTTATGCAATACATTAAAGTCAGTCCACTCAGTTAAAAGTATATATCCTCACCTCCCAAGTGGGTATCACCATTTGTGGCAAGAACCTCAAAGACACCATTATCAATTGTCAGGATGCTGACGTCGAATGTTCCACCACCGAGGTCAAACACAAGGATATTCTTCTCACCACCTTTCTTGTCCAAGCCGTACGCGATGGCAGCAGCAGTGGGTTCATTGATAATTCTAGCAACATTAAGTCCAGCAATCACACCAGCGTCCTTGGTAGCTTGCCTCTGGGCATCATTGAAGTAGGCTGCATATTGACGAAAGTGTCACAACAGTCAAGACAACCAAAATGATTGACAAGTTTATCCACATTGAAAGGAAAGTGAACTGAAGATCAGTTGATAGTTACACACCTGGAACAGTGACAACGGCATCCTTGATCTTCTTTCCAAGGAATGCTTCAGCTGTTTCCTTCATCTTAGTCAAAACCATAGCACTGATCTCTTCAGGGCTGAAAACCTTGGTCTCACCATCCTTGATCTTGACCTGAATGTAAGGCTTACCGTCCTTGTTAACAATCTTGTACGGAACTAGCTTCATGTCCCTCTGAACTTCTTTGTCCTCAAACCTGTCAAATAATGGTCTCACTTAGCATCATATCCCACAAAATCCAGAAACAAAGACATGACAATAGAAGGACGCATACTTTCTTCCAATAAGTCTCTTGACATCAAAGACCGTCCTTTCGGCGTTAACAGCTGCCTGGTTCTTAGCAGCCTCACCGATCAATCTCTCACTGTCGGTGAAAGCGACCCATGATGGAGTGATACGGTTTCCTTGGTCATTCGCTATAATTTCAACATGACCATTCTTGTAGACACCAACACAAGAGTAGGTTGTGCCGAGATCAATGCCAATAACTGTACCCAATTTCGTGGCTTCCTCTTTCGCAATGGAAATTGCAAACAGACATCCTGTAACCAAGAATAGACACATTATTGCCTCTGCAAAATGCCCAAAGTCCTTCACAGTAATTCGACAGAAGCAACTTCCAATCTTATGGGAGCATCAAGTAGCATTATCATCATGCAACACATAGCGCCTAGACTAAAAGTGGATGGCAAACATAAAAGGAAAACCACACTAACATGGCAAATCAACATGCAACTAAAATCACACAGAATGAATACGTATATGTAAATCAAGCAAACACGCAAGACCAAGTCAACAAGATAGTTAAGCTAGGCGACAGCCATCTACTCCAACCAAAGGCAAAAAAAGCTTGCCACTTAAAGCTAACCGGTGCGAGGCAGCCGAAAGAATCGGTACAATGATCCGACACGGCCTATCCGAATTCCCGAGCTAGTCGACAACAAAGAGAAAATTCCAACATTCCTCGCCTCTCTCTACCCCGCTTGCCTTCAAAATCCGAGAATCGAGCAGTTTCGCAAGTTCAATGGTCCCCCAAGCAAATACATGATGCAAGCGCATAGATAGAGATCATTCAAAGTCATCCATCTCATGTTCGCCATAACACTACTTACACCGACATCGAACAAATCAAACCTATCGCAAGACTGATCAAACCAAACGATCGCCAAAAGAAAAGGCGTCGCAAGCCGATGCAGCAGATCCCGAAACACTCGAATCGACCAGATCTACCGCGCTACAGCGATCAAGCAACACTCCGAAAACACTCGCCAAAACAACACACTAAACCAGCATCTTCGACCGACGAGCGACTGAGATCTACGAGCGAGAGCACGGATCGTTCGGAGGCGAAATCTTACCGAAGAGCAGGATCGACAGCACGACGAACGAACCGCGAGCTCTCCACGAGCCAGCCATGGCGTCTGCAACTCGCTCTCTCTCCCTCTGTTCCTTCTCGGAGCTTGAATCCGATGACAATGGAGGTTCCGCGAGATGCGAACGGATGGGCTACGGAGAGAGCTCTCCGGATTTTGCTTATATAGGGAGCGAAATCCCGTCTGCTGCAAGGTGCAGCGTCAGAACATGTCATCGGCGATGACGTGGACCAATGGCGTTGCGGGGGTGGGGTGGCCGAGCCAATGGCGTTGGCCCCTGGCGTTGGGAGGTTCCTGGCCGTTGGATGTGATGGAGATCTTACGCGTCGAGATCACGTTGGGTTTTAGTCAAACCCGTGGAAAGTGTATCTGAGTTTTCGAATTTTTCAAATAACTAAAAACTCGATCTTTTTTGAAAAGAAAAAACGAAAGGCAAAAATAAAAGTAAAAATTATAAAAGGAGTGCGCGAAGGAAAATCAAATTAGACTTTCAAACCAAACGGCTGAAAATATTTAATATCGTTCGGTTCATTTTTAGATTTCTAGCAAACACGTGAAAATATTGTCACTTCCTACATTTTTCAGAAATGTTACATTTTTTGCGAAACAAACGAGGCCTTAATTTAATAAAAAAATTATTTGTATTGCATGAAAGTGTTTTAGCATTTCCAATTTCTTTTTCTCTTCGAATTTGCAAAAAATGGGTAATTTGATCTTTTCAAAGTAAGAAATTTATCTTGAGATGGGAAATTTGTATTTTGAAAATTTGAGGTATATTCTTAGTTATTGGGTGAAAAATGGAACTTATTCTTTATATTTCCCTATATTTTTTCCAAGGACATAAAGTGGCTGAACCTCAACCAAAGAAAAAAGAGGATAATGATACAAATAGTTCATAAACTTTTATTCAATGTGCAATGTGGTCCATAAATTTTTAATTTGTTAAATGTGATCCCTCAACTTTAGCCCAATATGTAATGTCGTCTCTATATTTTTAATTTGTTCAAAGTGGTCATGGATTTTTTATACATGTTTAAGTTCGTCCTTAAACTATATTAAAATATTCAATGCTATACTTTCATTAATTCAAGTTTAGGGACCTCATTGAACATTTTCATATAGTCCGTATACTAACTTGAACATATATTAAAAGTTTATGAACCACATTAAATAAATTGAAAGTTCAAGGATGATATTGCACATCAAGCTAAAGTTCATGGACCACATCAAATAAATTAGAAGTTCACGAATCATATTGCATATTAAGTGAAAGTTCAAGGATCATTTGTGTCATTTTTTCAAGAAAAAAAATCATCTTTCAACGCTCCATTACAAATGGAGATATAATGTGGATTTACCAACATGGGAATTGCTACTACCGCCTAAACGATCATCTTCTTTACATAACTTCTTAGTTTCACCACCATGTCGTTCATAATACTGTCACCGTTTTACCATCGCAACCTTGACACATTATCACCTTAGCCATTAACCACTTTTGTCATCAATGACGTTGTCACCGACATCTAGTACATCAGTACTAGAGTCCATTAACCATTCTACTATAGTAAATTTTTAATACCTTGTGGACACTTTTACACTTATGCACATCTTTTAATCGCGCATTAAAATATTAAGTAGGTCTTTATTAACTAAGCGAGAATATTAATGTGGATTGATGTATTCAGTTTGTGTGAATATTTAATTATCAATATTTTAGGAATATGTCACTTTCTTAGAACTCTTTGTAACGGATCTTAAAAGCTATATGTAATTAGTTATGGTATGTATTTTTAGGTAGAGCGCCGGTTTTAAAACTCCAAGAACTGCTTGTACTTCTGCTGATGATCTTCCCTGTAAAATTTAAAATTTTAGAAAACATTTTCGAGTCTTAAAAAGTATGATTAGATAATATAAATTGTACACCTAAAATATTTGTATATTTCAAAAAGTATCAACTTTTTTACTTTAAGAAAAGTCGCAAAATTAAAATTTACCCTCACAAAGTTTGGAGTAAGATGAGAGTTCTATAAATAGATATTGTGGTAATGGCTAGGGGAGGAAGCAAAATGACAATGAATATTAAAAAAATTACTAAAAAAGTCATAAACTTATTGTTTTTGAGTCAATTCAGTTATAAACCTTTCAATTTGGCAAATTTAATCCTAAATCTTTTAATGTTTTGTCAATTTATTTCAACTTAACCATGTAGACGCCGGGCATCTTTCTTTTCCTTCTCTTCTTTTGTTTTTTTTTCATTGTAAGCCTGCGATGGGCAAGGCCTCGCCAGGCATGGGCGAGATTGACCACAGTGAAAGGATAAAAAAGAAAAAAAGGAAAAGAAAAGAAAAGAAAATTTTAAAATTTATTAAAAAAAATATCAACGCAAGCTTTGGCCCGTGACATGAAGGGCAGTTGGCGTCCACACTGGCGATGGACTACATTGTTAAATTCTCAAAAGATTTATGACTACATTAATCAACTTGAAAGTTTAGGACTAAATTGATACAAACGTAATAGGTTTAGGATTTTTTTTCATAATTATCCCATGGATATTGAATTGCTTGTTATTCATACTCGCCAAGGGGTTTTCCAATTATTTATAGTTACAATAACCATTGCAAATTAAAATTATATACTTAAAATTAGACCTAAATATTACTTTTTGAATAGTACCAGAAATCATCGCCATCATCGCAATCATCGTTAGTAGTATATATATCATTTCTGTTTTTATTATTTCTATTGAAGGATTAAATCCTTAAGAAGGAATTACATAAACCCATGTTATTTTTTACATCAAGAAAATCTTAAAAAAGTCGCGATCCTTTATGCTGCTATTAATAGATATTTTTTTAATAATTAGAAAAAAAATAAAATTTAAAAGCAAAAAAAACCCACCAATGGCGCACTAATTTTCAGTATTTTAGCCTAATTAAATTAATAAAACCTGGACAAAAATGGAAAATTGTGATCCCAATTTCTCCTCGCACTGTTGTGCACAGGAAGCACTCTCTATCCCTCTCTCTCCATTTCTGCAAGTTCATGGAGGAATCCGAACCCTAACACCTCCGAAGTTCCCTCCAATGGCGATCGCATCTCCTCCCAGCTTCTCCGCCTCCTTCTGCTGCGGCCGCGCCGACTCCGCCGCCAGCCTCGCCCGCTCCCCGCCGATCGCCGCCGCGTTCCCCCACCACCCCCCTCCTCGTCGGCGCCGCCTCGCCGCCTCGGCGCGGCTCAACTCCTCCACCCCCTCCGGCGCCGGTAGCGGGTCCGTCTCGCCGGATAACGGCGACCTCAGCCAGTACGAGCTCCAACACGCGCTCTCCCCCGCCGCCCGCCGCCGGGGGGGATCGCCGGTGTTCGTCGCGCTCCCCGCCGACGCCGTGGGCCCCGGAGCGGGGCAGGTGAGGCGGAGGAGGGCGATGGCGCAGTCGTTCCGGGCCCTCGCGGCGGCGGGGGTGGAGGGGGTGGTGATGGAGGTGTGGTGGGGGCTGGTGGAGAGGGAAGAGCCTAGGGTTTACAATTGGGATGGATATTGGGAGATTGTGACGATGGCGAGGCGCTGTGGATTGAAGGTTAGGGCAGTGATGGGGTTTCACCAGTGTGGCACTGGTCCTGGGGATCCTAACTGGTTGGTGTGATTTTTATGCTTTTCGATATATGCGTGATCTGTATTGCTTGTGATGATTGATTGATGGATGCAATGTGGCTCACCAATTATTTTGAACTGTTTGTTAGGATTGAGAGGCATATCACTTAGAATGAAGTCAAGGGCTTTTGGTTTGATAGGGTGCTGTATGAGTTGGGGTTACATGATGTTATTCCGAGTCCATAAGCAATAGATGAGAGATCTAAATCTTTTAGAGAAATGCGGGCAACACGAGGTTTGTCCCAGAGAGAGAGAGAGAGAGAGAGTATTGCTACCATGAACTTCTAGCACGAAATCTTCATCTGCATCTGCAGCGAATTGGTGATATAATGAGGTCCTTTGCATACATGACATCTGCATTGGCTTGTTCTTGTAGAGTGCGCAACCTTACTTTGATACCACTTGTAGGGTATGCGGAAGCATTATGTTGGTAATACGAGAGAATTGTAATAGACAACTCGAGATACACTTGTTATACCAAACTGCGGTACAAGTATAACAATCAAATGTTATCTCACACAACTATTGCAATATATTTTCTCTCACCACACTCAAAATGCTCAAAGCAATACTTGCTTATACAGATACACACTCTCAACTAATCTGTAACTCTCTCTGTCTGGCTGCGTTGCCTCTCTCTCTCTCTCTCGAAGTTCACCTTTTGCATCTGGTGACCTCTCTCGTTGGCTCTCCGGGACGCTCTTCTACAACAACAACTACAAGCTGTATATAGATGCATGAACCGACTCAGCCTTGGCCGACTTCATTTGCATATGGACAAGAGGTGCACACCAATGTTGACTTTTCCTTCAATTACTTGCTGTTGAAGGATATTGACTAACTTTGAATTTGCTTATTTTACCGGCTTGAAAGGAATGCTGTCGTGTCTTCCAGCGTGTTGGAGTTCGTTCATTTTGTGTGCCCCCTGCTTTTCTTTCTCTTTGTTATTCTTGCGGCTTCTATTAGGTGTTGACTCCAACACTCCCCCTCAACACCGAATACTCTTATCATATAGCATCTGGTATTCGTCTTCTTCAGTTGCCTCTACGACTACCGACTTCCGACTGGGCCTTGTGAAGCTCAGATTTCATCAACGCCATTTCAATTTGCGCATCAGTCTCTTTTTCTTTCTTCGCAGTCTCCCCACTCAAATCTTTTGCAAAAGTTTTTAGATTGCATCTCATGCGGTCAAGTCACTCTTTCATGGTTTTCATTTCATGCTTCAATTGATTCAACTCCATCTGAAGCATTTCGGTGTAGACATCTCGATCCTTTTTCTCATAGGGCTTCTTCTCTACACTCTTCCATTGATCCTTGCCCTTTAGGATCTTTTTCTCTGGGCAGCATTCTTGAGCTTCTGCAACTTCTTGAGCTCATACCAGAGCTTCTCATGCTCTCTTTCTTTTAGCTTGAGCTCCTTGTCCTTTTGCCTCAACATTTCGTCTTTCTCTTTCAATATTTTCTGCATCTCTTGCAGTTCCTTCTCAAAGCTGCTTGTTGAAGCTACTACTTGCTTCTTCGAGTTTTCCCTCGACTTGCTCTTCTTCGGGGACATCTTAATGGCTATCACATCATCTGTCTCGATGATATCGGTGGCTTCGAGCTCTTCTTGCTCCTCTGCCACAATAGTCGCTTGAAGACTCCATTCTTCTTTACTGTCGTTCTTCTTCTTGAAAGAAGTTGTTGCATTTCCTTCTTCTCTCCTGAACCAATAGACTCTAGCAAAGTGACCTACTTTGCCACAGATGTAGCACCGTCCGCTATGCCTTCTGTTGTCCTTGTCGCGATCTTGGTGAGCTCCCCTTGGCTGAGTGCTTCTCACTGCGGGTCGCCTCTGCCAGTGACTTTTCCACTGCTTGCCATCTCTAGCGTCAGTGCCATTTCTCCTCTGGCTCTTGAAATCTCGTTTAGAACTTTCATCATTCAGGGCACATGCTAGCACCACATCTTTGTCATCATCGAAGATATGTGCATGTTCCGTCACCTCTTCTTGACATTCGGGTTTGTAATGTCCGAATTTATTGCACTTAAAACACCTGATCTTTGATTTGTCACATGTTTTATACTTTTTGGTGAAATTCAAAATTTCACCTCTACCTCAGGCACCTCCATGACCTCGTCCACTTGATAATCTCCTCGACTTGAGCGAACCACCCAACTCTACAGTGCTTGCTCGGGATACGAACTGATGGATTTCTGATTCATTCTTTGCTCATGCGAGCATAATGAACCCATCAACTGCTCCATTGTCATGGTTGATATATCTTGGCCTTCTTCAATTGTCGCAACAACGTAGTCAAATCTCTTAGTCAAAGACCTTAAGATTTTTTCTACAACTCGAACATCTTGGAGTCCTTGACCATTAACCCTCAGTTGGTTAACAATAGTCTGCACCCGATCAAAGTATGCCGAGATTGATTCAGAGTCATTTATGCGTAAAGACTCGAAATCTCCTCGAAGTGTTTGGAGCCGCACTCGCTTGACACGATCATTACCTTTGTAGGATTGGCAATATATCCCATGCTGCTTTTGCAGTCTCCACGCTCAATATTTTTTCAAATATCGTCTCCTCCATGGCTTGAAAGATTGTAAATAACGCTTTCTGATCTTTCTTTCGGGTTTCCACCAATAAATCTTTCTCCGTCTTTCTTAAAGCATCGAATGCTTCAGCATCGGCCAATCTAGTGTAGCCATTCTCCACTAGGTTCCACAAATCTTGCGATTTGAAAAGAACCTCCATCTGGACGGACCAATTATTGAAATTCCTTCCGTTCAACTTTGGAAGTTGTAATTGAACAGAACTTGTGGATTCCATTGCTAGCTCTTTTACCAATTGTAGAGTGCGTAACCTTACTTTGATACTCCGGTTCCTAACCTCCTAGGCTCTTGTACTCTGGTCCCTGGCCTGCTAGCTCTGATACCAATCATAGAGTGCGCAACCTTACTTTGATACCCCTTATAGGGTATTTGGAAGCGTTATATTGGTAACACGAGAGAATTGTAATCGACAACTTGAGATACACTCGTTATACCAAACTACGGTACAAGTATAACAATCAAATATTATCTCACATGACCATTGCAATATATTTTCTCTCACCACACTCAAAATACTCAAAGCAATACTTGCTTATACAGATACACACTCTCAACTAATCTGTTTATCTCTCACTCATAGAGAGCAACTCTCTCTATCTGGCTGCGTTGCCTTTCTCTCTCTCTCTCTCTCTCTCTCTGTCTCTGTCTCTCTCTCTCTCGAAGTTCACGTTTTGCATCTGGTGGCCTCTCTCGTTGGCTCTTTGAAACACTCTTCTACAACAACAACTACAAGCTGTACATAGATGCACGAACCGACTCAGCCTTGGCTGACTTCATTTGCACATGGACACGAGGTGCACACCAATGTTGACTTTTCCTTCAATTACTTGCTGTTGAAGGATATTGACTAACTTTGAATTTGCTTATTTTACCGACTTGAAAGGAATGTTGTTGTGTCTTCCAGCGTGTTGGAGTTCCTTCATTTTGTGTGCCCCTGCTTTTCTTTCACTTTGTTATCCTTGCGGCTTCTATTGGGTGTTGCCTCCAACAGTTCTGTCCTATGTCACTGACATTTCTACAAGAAAGTCATTAAATTGATAACGATTTTTTCAACCATGATTTGTTGTCCCTGATTGTGAAGCTATCGTGCCTAGAGCTTATGCATGATCTGGTGTTTGATGGAAAAATTTCTGCAGTTACCTAAGTTTCCCTAAAAGGAAATCATACCAAGTCTTATATGCATACTATGTGATACTTTTTGCATGATACCTTGATATAGGTAGTCCATGAAGTTTGTTCTTGGAAGTTTCATTCTACTCAATTGAAGGATCTCTAGCTCAGTTTATTTTTTTTAATGTACTGATATAATGTCAATTTTTTTGGTCATAACTTTTCTCTTTTCTGTTGATTAACATTTTCTCCGGCAAATTAACAGTACCCTTTGACTGATTTGTCTTGCTTCAAAATTATACGGATTTGGTCAGTGCCGTTTTATGCCATAGTCTTATTTTATGGCTCCGATACCTTTATGTTATTGTAGGATACCTCTGCCTGTTTGGGTGCTTCAACAGATGGATAAAGACCCTGATATAACTTATTCAGATAGATTAGGAAGGAGGAGTACGGAATACATTTCCCTAGGATGTGACATTCTTCCTGTGCTGCAAGGACGATCACCCATTCAAGCATATGCAGATTTTATGAGGAACTTCAGGGACGCATTTAGGTCCTTTTTTGGCGATGTCATAACTGTAAGATCATATGATATGTTTTATAGATACCTAAATCCTAGATTCAGTTGCCCATTCGTTAATCTTATTCTCTTCAGGGAGTTCAAGTTGGGATGGGTCCTGCTGGTGAATTAAGGTATCCTTCATGTCCTTCCCACAAGCTGATGTGGGCTTGGCGGTCACGTGAACTTGGAGAGTTTCAATGCTATGATAAGGTATGAATGCAGGGAAATTAAGCCTATACTGTATTTGCACAGAAAATGTTTCAATCAGGCTTTAGTTCTTTTGTACCTGGTTGCTTCTACTGGTCTCCACTCCTTTCCCCATGCATGGGCCTGCTCTCTCCTTTTCTTTTGTCTTCTGGTTTTATAATCCTGAATTATGACTTATATTGACATTGTTATTGTTTCCTTGCTCTGGCCAGTATATGCTTGCATCATTAAACGCTTGTGCACGAGAGATTGGAATGCGTGAATGGGGAAGTGGAGGCCCTATTGGCACTGGCAATTTGATGCAGGACCTGGAGAATACTGAGTTTTTTAAAAGTGATGATGGCTCTTGGAATACAGCCTATGGTAAATTTTTCCTTGAGTGGTACTCGGGGATGCTGCTTTTGCATGGAGAGAGGATATGCAGGGAAGCTGAGACGATCTTCCGCGGCATTGAAGTGAATACATCATCAAAAGTGGCCGGAATTCACTGGCACTATGGCACAGAGTCTCATGCATCTGAATTAACTGCAGGCTATTACAATACTTCAACGAGAGATGGCTACCTACCAATCACTCGCATGTTTGGTAGGTATGGATTTACTTTATGCTCTACATGCTTTGAAATGCAAGATGTGGAAGAGAAGCAGATGAACCCGGTCAGTAGCCCTGAAGGCTTTCTCAGACAGCTCCTTTTGGCTGCTAGGGTCTGTGATGTATCCCTTGAAGGTGAAAACTGCACAAGCAATTTAGATGATAGGTCATTTCAACAGGTCCTAAAAATGTCAAAGCTTTACTCAGATGGTCTAGAAAAGCCGTCCTTTTCATTCAACTTTGTTAGGATGGATAAAAACTTGTTTGAATACAACAATTGGGTGCGTTTTTCTCGATTTGTTAGGCAAATGTCTGTTGCCAATATTTTTCGAGCCAGACTAGGCTCTCCAGATATTCATTCTTCAGCAGCAGATTCTGCGAAACTCGGATTTGCTTTTGCCTACAGCTGAGGAAGCCTCCTCCCTGCCTAGTTGGATATTTATTTTACCCATGCCGTCTGATGTATATTCTCATACGGAATTCAACCTTGGTGTAGTGTTGTGAAATGTGTAGCAATACCCATTTTTCACAGCCATTTTATGCTCGTCACTGAGGAAGAGAACTGTTTGGTGTATAACAACTTCATAATGCCTTACCATGATTTTTCAAATGGCAGGCCTATATTGTATACACATCATTTTGGAATCTATATTCCTTGATTGGCAGATACTTTGTTGGATGCTCATTTCATTCATGGTTTCGCTGTGGGATTGCTCGGGAACGACCACATTTCAAATTGTCTTTTACACATGGGGCCATCCAACTGATTGTGAGATCACAATTCGCAATACGTCCGGTCGCTAGTGGCTTAAAGTTCAAGATAAAAGGGCTGAGAATTTGTGTTTTCGGAGCTCCATGAGGGTAAAATTCTGATAGACCAGATGAATAATGTGAAGAAGATGTCCATACTAATTTCTACTTTCTAGTAAAGCAAGGTTGGAGAAAGGGTATAATGGTGAGAAAATGATGTCAATACCATTGGAAGGGTCAAATCAAACGAACTGTTTTCGTACGATAAGAGTTAACAAAGGAAGAATTGCCTAAAATTCTCCAAAATTTTTTATACAAGTCGCATACAATCTCTTTGCATCTGCTTCCTGCCACACTAACAAAAAGAAAGTGGTACAACATACAAACTATATTTACATTCCTATAGTCATTACCCTGAGCTTTCACAGGAGCTTCCCAGGTTCGCCATCACATCATGAACTAACAGCCTGACCATATTACAGCCAGATGATCGCGAGATGTCCATGCATTCTTGCCAGTCTGCATCGCAGGCTATCAAAACCCACTCCTGATCGTCATCAAGGTATTTGATATCAAAGGTACCCACCTCTAATTTCAGCCTCCTCGCCACTTGTTCCCTCAGCTCCACGATACTAGAACTCAGTGATATCCTGAATCTTATAATGTCTTCTCTGTACGTAGCCTTGATGGTCACACACGTCATGTCTTGCCTAGGTGTAGCGCGAGGCGTTGTTGTAAGAAAAGTTGCCGCTTGTTTGGAAGCCATATCAGAGGATGGGGGATTCGTCCAGCTGGACTCTGGGACCCGATCTTCCAAAACTGCATCTGCAACTGATGGACACAGATTTCTCAAATCTTTTGAGCTTCCAGTATCCTCAATTAGCATTCCTCCAAATGGTTCTTGAAGTTCTGTAACTACTAGAGCATCAGGCATTGAATATGCAGCGGAGAAGTTCAGCGCATTTGTCAACTTAAACATCATTTCTGGAGAGCCCCCTCTTTTTACGCATTGATCATTGTGTGGAGAATCAGACTGATCCTTCACGGGCAAACTTTCATTGGCCGGACTACCTTGGCACGAACCATGAGAAGTGGGTGTACCGGCACTCTGTTCCCTCGAGCCACTTCTAGATTTAGATCTGCTTGATGCTCCAGCAAATTCTGGTGGAAACCCGCCATGCTCGTTTGAGAGTTGCTCCTCGTGAGGCACCCTCCCATGAGATTTATTTTGCATCGCAGCATCTTCATCAGTTCTGGGTAACTTGGATGGGGACGGATTCATCCTTTCACCTTGTGCTTCAAGTACCTTGGCTTCGGGTGGGTTTTGCTCATTGGACCCTTTCAAACTGGAAGGCCAAGAAATAGAACCAACAGCAACGGGAAGTGGACTTGTAGCTAAAGCACTTATACTGAATGTTTCTTCAGCACCTTGAACAGATTCAATGACATGCTTCAACTTTGATAAAGAACGGTTGACTTTGCTAATTTTGCGGGATGGCCACCTTGAAATCCCATGCTGTCTGCAGATTCGTTTCATTGTTGTTGGGCAAACTGGAAAGAGGCAAGAATACAACTTTAGATATAAAACAAGAAAATGCAATCAAATTCCTATGCGAGGCGAAACACCAAATAAAAACGATGAGATAAATAGTGGCCAATGGAAGCAAGAGAAATTGATCGTACCGCCGAGGCTCTTTGCAGCATCTTTAAGGCTGCCAGTGAAATATTCCTGAAGAACCTCAAGGCTAATACATTTCTCAGCCTTTCCTCGCTTCTTCTCAGATTTCTTTTTCATCACATTATTTTCTGGAAAAGTAACAACATCCTCACTTGCAATTGCTATTACAGGATTGACTCCATCATTGGTTGCATCGATGACATCCACCAGCAGCTGCTTTGATGAATCTAACAGCTTTGCCGCTCCTCCGTTTGGCAAGTAATCGGGTCCAGCCAATAATTCTGTATATGTAGGTATTTGAAGATTGTCAACTCTCGAATCAAGTCTCTCATTCAGCACAGCTTCAATAACTTCAATAGAGTTGTCCTCCAGTTGAAGTGTTTTCCCAGAAGCAACCATAAGACTCTTGAAATGATTCCTCATTGTAGACAATAAAGAGCTCAATAATGACTGCTGCTCACTATTATCGGTGATGCCAGTGGGCAAGAAAAATTCTAAAACATAATCATCATTTCCAGTATAACTACTTCGTAAGCAGATTGCAAGACAACTGGTTAACCCAAACATTCGTGCATAATGCACTAAAGGGTACTCGGTTTTGCAAAATTGGGTGATGTCTTTGCAGAAGCAAGAGTTCTGGGACAAGAAAGCCCTCCCAGCGACCCCCTGACCCTTTTGTAAGTGATGCTCAACACAAGCTTCCCGAAAGCCCCACATATGAGCATCTACAACATAAAATGCCACATCAGTTGTGGACATGCAGACTTGTCCCATGCAGCTACCATCAAAGCTAGAACAACTCTTTTTCAGGCCACCACCATCAGCCAGAACACTGCGATGCCGACACGGGACCCAGGTTTGAGCCAGAGGTAGCTTGTGGGTTTCACATACGGCTGTCAATATCTCTAAAATTTCAGCCAATGCATTGTGCCGCCCTTCATTGCATATCTGGTTTCAAAAGCTAAAGCATGTAAGAAAAGGCAAACCACAGTATCTTGATATCCAGCATTAAGTTGGGGATGTGGTGCAAACTCGGCGCATTTTACCTGTAGGTTTGAATGATCCAGGATTTCAGAACTTTTCAAGTTCACTGCCTGCAGAAAACTGAAATTGTATGACTGCCAATTCTTGTAATGCTATCTTTTGCATTGTGATTAAATGATTAACTACTATCAGAAACTGACAGCCAACAAATTGATGCAATAAAGAATGAAACTGTCACCAATGCCAAATAAGAGAATTTCAGAAGAAAGAAAAGCATGATTCTTAAACAAAACCCAACCTCAAGTGCTTTGCAGACTTTATCAACCACCGGTGCGTAGTTAATCTTCTGTGAAGTCATTATGAGTTCAAGCACGCCAACACAAGATTGCCCCGATGGTTCAAAGACGGGCAAAGCCAAGGTTCCTTGAACATTATAATGAAGAGCATGATCAAGCCTCCAATATTCTTTGCTGGTGTAGTATTGTACATTAGGAGTCCATTCAGGCAGCTTTTGCCGGAAAACACGACCAGGAAGCCCCAATTCTCCATCGTTCTCCCCGTCCACAGAAAACAAATACGTCAGAGACACCATTCTGTACTGGTGAAGCCCATTCGTATTAGGACCGAGAACGAAGGGTTGCCCTGAAGTCGTAAGGACATACCGACCACCATTCTTTACCGGTGCCCAAACCTGAGCTAGAACATGCTGTTCAGTCGATTCTTTGAAGTAACGAAGAGCCTGGGTCATCCTTTCTTTGATCTTACAGTATCCATCAGGATTTTCAAATGCCTTGAGCGCCAAAAACAGTGACGGCAGCTTTTTACGATCATCATCCTCAGCAGGGGCTTCAGTCTCTGAATTTTGATGATCTGTATATTTGGAAACAACTTCTCAGTCACAACTCAGTTAGCGTGGCTTCACAGGCAATTGCAGACAGTTGGAACAAATCAAACTTCAAGCAAGAGGCGACTTCGCAGTCGAGAGAAAGGACTCTCAGAATTCATAATTCTCACACGATAATATGAAATCAGGTAACACAAGGGGTCGAAGTGGCAACTAGCCACTGGTTTTGGAGACAGGAACAACCCCACCATTTCAATTCAAACTCCTTGGCTTAGCAGGAAAAAAACATCAGAATTTGAATCCCAAGTTTTTTCGAAGCGGGAGAAGACAAAACTGAATCGTCAGACGAAATTTCCCGATCAGTCAAAGGGGAAAGAAAAACCAAGTACCATACAACGAACTCAGGTGAGTCCCAAACAAGGAAAAATCTCGACTTTTTCCAAAGATCGCAAAACCAGAGAAGACAAAAAATAAGCAAGTGAACGCAGGTGGACAAATAGTCAACCCTCAATTCTCAGCCTCAGATGAAAAAAAAAAAAAGAAGCTTTTTAACGACCCAAATACAGTTCAATCAATCGCAATCCGAAAAACCCGACTCGAAACCAAAAGAGAACGAATCGAACTCAAGACTCACATGCGACAAAGTAATCGGAGAGGCCGATCCCGGCGGCGGCTCCCCCGCCGGCTGCCGTGGCGGCGGCGGCGGCGAGAAGCTTGTCCTCGGACCCGCCGGAGAAGGCCCAGAGGGGAGAGCCGGGCTGCTCGGAGGCGGTGGACAGGAAGAGGGGAGACGCGGGGTTCGCGGCGAAGGGGAGCTGCTGATCCATCACCACCGGCGGCCAGGGCGCGTAGGCATCGAGGTCGAGGTCCATGATCATCGACTCCTCCCTCCTCGGGGACGCCGCCGCCGGCAGCGGATCCCCCGGGCTCAGCCGCCGCCGGTGGTGGTGGCTGCGGTCGGGGCCGTCGCCCTCGCGCTCGCGCATTTTCTCGGGAAAACGACGGGATTTTCCGGGAAAGTCTCACGAGTGGAGGAGACGGGGAGGGTGGTCCTTATTCATTTTTTCTTTCTTTTCCCGGTCGAGCCTTTAGTAGTGGAATCCGAACAGTTGGGCCAGTTGATCGACAAGCGATAAAAAATGACGAACGGGGGAAAGTGATTCTCCGCAGCAACCAACCACCAGATATTGTCCAGAAAGTATTTATTCTCAGGTAAAGGAACGTACAGCCAACTTGGGGGGTTGGGCGGGCCTGCGAGCACCTGCACGTTAAACAATGAACGAAGTCCCGTAGGTCCTAAGCAAGACCTTAAATTATTTAGTCTGAGGCCTCTTGCAAACCTCGGCACCCCTCAGACGATAAACATCGAGGGTAGAACTGAGTACCGGGATCGAAAAACATACAACCAAATAGGGGGCTGGGTGTGCGGGCACGTTAAATAAGGAATGCAGTCCTGTCAGCCCTCATGTGTATACACTTGAACTGGCGCGGAGGCCCCAATTAGAAGCTTAGGGTTCAGTAAATTAGTTTGCAATCTTAGCAAAAACAAAAATAAAATAATAAGAATAATTTAATCTTTACAAAAAGGAAAATTATGTTAACAACCATAGTCTTACGGTCTTTTTAATTTGATTGAATATTTCCACTTTTTTGTTGACAAGGCCACATTTAATAGAATGGTTAATGCCATTAATAATCCTAAACCGGTGCGCTTATGACACATTTACCCATCATCCACTTCATATCCCAAACTACTCCTAATCAAGAGTACATTTGCATTATATTATCGGTCTGAAATGTTTCGTGAGATCAAAATTGATTTGAGGTAAATATGTCATGGGTACCGGTTTGAGATTTTTTATGGTATTAACCAATAATAAAAACAACACAAGATCTACTTAGAAGACATACATTGATACTTCTCGAGTTATAACCTATCCCGATAAGAAAAGCGTATGCTAAAAAGTTCTCGCTATATTGCTTAGGATCTCCACGGATGACAATATACTCTTCACCTTCATTCCTTTTCTCTTTCCTAAGGAGAACCTAATTTCTCATAAGAATACTGCATCAGGAGCTTCAGAATAATGTGATGTAGTCATCGGCTTCGAGAAATTTAACATGTCTTCACATTTTTTTGTTTCTCTCTTAAATAGACGGTGTCGATTTCCTTCGAGCCTTTTTGGGTCGTGTTTATAAGTTAGAGTTGGAACGAGAAACTGTTGACTCATGAGTAGGCTTACTGATTTGTTAAAGAAGAGAGTTTGTGTATGATTAGACGCATGATATTCGGTTCAATCTTCGCACAACTGATTCCTGTGATTAGACACTCATCCAAACTTTCACTTGGGTCGCGTCTTACTTAGTTGAGATGGGATTCCTTGTCACAAACGAAGATTAAAGAGAAGTTGCCTGAAAATTGAGTAAGGCCCGGATAGGAACAAGAAGTGGTATAATGTATTTTTCTTTTTAATTGATTATAGCATATTGTTCTGCCTCTTCATGTGCGAGCTAATTTCAAGAAAAATATTTATGAACACGAGAAGAAAATATCTCGGATTATCTCACAACTCCATTAATGATGAAGATGTGTGATTTTTTTTGTCCATACGGTAAGTGAAACGTGCATTTTCATGTACAACACTTTGCGATCCCCGGCGATCCTTAAAAAAGAATTTCATCTTCCGGTTTCCTTATATATTATAAGTATATAACTTTTAATACAAGATATACACAATTGCATATGTATGCAACTATAGAAGAAGAGGAACAAGACAAGTTTGCCTAATGTGTGTAGCACTATATGAGACATTGGATCTCACCCAAAAGGGGGAGCTTTACCCCACCGATACTCCACCAGCATGTAGCCTTTCTAAGGACAGCTATTGCATGATCCACAAGAGAATGGCCCTCGTTCAAATAAAGACAAGCACGTCGACGAATTAGCCACGAATTCGCTTGTTAAATTAACAAATTAATGCACCAAGTAATAGAGGACCCAACTTTTTAACAGTGGAATTAGTGTGTACTGGGTAGCTAGAAAGTTGAAAACTTTGTCATCGTTAATATTTTAGTCATATAAAGATGTAGAACCGTAAATAAATGTATTCCCATCTTCTCCTTGAGTCCTATATCTCTATAGTTAAGTCGAAAGGAGTCGGCCGAGTTGGTAAAACGACTGGGATTCTGTGTCTCGAGAAGCTTGATATTTTATATTTGATGTTTAGACAAGTTATGATCAAATGAAACCGGCCTTAAGAAAGTGATAAATCCATAATTGGATACTGAAAAGGAAAATAATAAATCAAGTTCCTTTCAAATTACGCCGGATGAATTGCTTTTCATCGGAAGAGAAAAGAGCAGGATCTAGCCTTATTCATGCTCTTAATTTTATGTAATCACTGTTAGAGATATCAATCCTCCCTGATTGATAATATTAGAGATATCAATCCTCCCTGATTGATTCTATTTGATGTTATTTTGATATTGTAATATTTTGTTGCTTTAGATAGTTATCTTGAATAGCCTATAAATAGGCTCATGTATCATCAGTATTAGACATGCAGAAATACATAGAAATTCTCTTTTCTACTCTATTCTTCACAATCACAACCAAATATTATATATATGTGTGTATGTACGTATGACACCAGAGGGATCTTCATGATTAAATTAGTAATCATATTCATAATATAAATAAGCCAATGGCTGATGGTGGATGATGATGATGGAAAAGATTATTATATAATTTGATAGAATATGATAGAGCTCCTTTCGGTTGTAACTTTTTATTGAGGCTTTGGGACCATTGAATAGTGAAATGTTGGACGATTCGCATCATCTCAGATCAAGAAAAATGACCCATTCTTGAACCTATGAGTTACCACTTCGTCCATTAAATAAATGACTATGGCTCGTCCTAGTTCGATTCGGCTAGGTATCATTGTCCCTACCAAACCACGCTGAGAGCTTGTGAATCTTCAGAGTTAAGAATCGTATCGTGATTCATGGGTGCTAAAACGACGTGCGCGCTAAAAACTAGAACATGGGACTTTTTTAAATCACACTAAAACTATTGTCTCTTCGATGTTTGGACTATACACAACTACATAAGTATGGGTCATCTCTAAAAGCTGGGGCGAAAAAGGGAATTTTAAATTTTGCTGGACAATCATTACCTTGGCTTAGCCCAGCTGAAATTGAAAATGGGAGAGCCTGTGATGCGCAAAACGGACTGTCCAAATTGAAAACTGCTCGGACCGTACTGGAACGGCGATATGGTCCGGTTTTCGAGAGTAACGGTCCGGTTTCCAGTTCCTAAAAGTGAAATTAGTGTCTGGGCAGTCCTGTTTCCAATTCCAAGGGGAACCGGACCGAATGGACCGGATCGACTATATATATATTTTTGCGATTGTGTGTAATTGGCATGGGGAGTACAATTCTAATTTTAGAACATATGTATAGTCAACATGGGGAATACAATTCGTCATCGCATTAGCTCAAATTGCACACTTGTTTTCGTGATTATGTATAGTCGGTATGGAGAATACAATTCTAGTTTAAAAAAAAAAATAGTGAGAAAAAAAAAATGACCGATTTTATTTGACCGGACCGGACCGATTCCCAGTACTGAGAACCGATCACCCTAGGAGAACCTGAATTTTGGTTGGGATTCGATTTCGACATCGTGATTACAAAATTGAATTTTACCAATTTTGACTTGGATTAAAGAAAGAAGGAAAGACTCCCTAGGTTACGAGCTTCCTCAGGGGGTCGAAAAGACAAGGGGGGAGCAAATGTGACAAATACAAAGGGCCTTTCTCTATCAGAGGATGACGACGTACGTACAGCTCCGATGTGGGCTAACTTTGCCAAACGTGTACACTAGTCAAGTTGCACCATTCCTTTCGATTCGTCGATTTTATATACATAAAAATATATAATTTTAAGAAAATAATTCGTCGTGAGTTTCTTTTTATCATCGTTCTTTTCTCGAGTAATCTTCACACGAGAGTGCCGATTCCAGCTGCCCACGAGTAGCTTAATGCATTAAACTTGGTCTCTATACTAATTAAATCGTTCCAAATTGAAAGAAAGATTAAACAAACTCCTCAGTTTGGGCAGCGATATGATTAAGGCATGATAAATTGTGCATCCCATGTCCAGGGTTCGCCCAGTTCATCGCTGCCCTATTATCATATTCATTCATTTGCTCCACAAGTTGCACATAATCCAGATTTTATAATTTTTCATGCTTGAAGCGCACAGATCTGGGAAGGCAACCCAGATTTTATTTTATTCACATTTTTTCAAGCATCATCATCAAAGGAAAAAACAAAGAGAAAGAATTTTTTTTAGTTTCGTCCTTTACTTTTACTAATTAAGTTAATCTACTTTTAATTTGTGTAATCAAATCATTCTACTTTAACATATTTTTAATCAAGTCCATCCGATATCAATTCCAGTGAACTTGGCTATCTCACGACGTTATGTGGACATTCACATGAGTGTCCACATTAGCTAATAAAGTTTTTGCATATAATACTTTATGTCGGCTATATTGCATAAATTTTCCCACACACCCGCATATTCTGTTTGCATCATACTTTGGGTCGTCTGGCAGTCCTATCGGTTGAATTTGGTTTGATTTAGGGCTGCATGGATTGGATTAGAAAATTTGTGAAAGCAGAAGACTCAATTAGATAAATTAAAATACATGGACTCGTTTAGAAGAAGCATGAAAGTATAAGAATGAAAAATAGAAGTATTCCAAAGAAAAACAAGAAAGAAAGAAAGAAAGAAAGAAAGAAAGGAGTCCCAAAGCATTCGATACAATCATGCAAAGATGTTGTTCAAGCAGAAAGTTTATCATAATACCAAATTTTCAGATTGCAGGCTGTACCATATAGGATAGTCGACGATGAGTGGGCAGCCATGTTAGCATTTTTAAGCGAGCATTGGTCGAATGGACTACATTAAAATTTCATGCAAAGGTTTATGACAACATTAAATCAATTGAAAGGTTTAAAAACTACATTGCAATCCGAACAATAGGTTCAGAATCGAAATGGCAATTTCTTCGAGATGTGCTGAAATTTCGTTTTCATGCATTGTTGACAATATTGTCAATTTTATTTTACAATGTGGAACGAGGATGAAGATGCATTCTAGCATACTTCTGATTGCTCATCCAATTCTTACTATTCCATGTTCAAAATCTTATTAGGTATTGTTTTTGTC